TCCTCTGATAGCAGACTTACTCGGAAGTAGGGCCTCCATTTTCTCTGCCTGCATACTCACGCTCTCCTTCAATCAGGCAGTTGTCCTCAGCACGAGTGAAATAGCTCTTGTCAAGGTCACCACTGACTTCCATTTTGCCATTTCCAGGATTGGCTGTTAGTCCATGTCTTATTTGACTTGTCTATAGCACTCTTGGTAGCTACCCAAATCCTTGCCCTTGAAATGCTTTCTTCCTGGTCAAGATACTGCTCTTACACCTTTGCCTTCTACCACACTGGCCACTCCCCCTCCTCCTTTCCTGTGTCTCCTCCTCACCCTAACCTCTACTCGTGGTATATTCTAGAGCTCCTCTCTCATCTCCTCCTTGGGGATCTTACCTACATGCCTGAATTTAGACATCATCTACATTTTGTTCATTCTCAAATGTGTATTTGAGAACCTGCAGCATCCAGGCATAGCATTTTTCTGCTTAGTGTGTTACTCAGATGTCTCACAGGCATCCAGTGTGTCCAATACTGAGGTTCTTCTTTCTCTTCCTATTCTGTCTCTCTGAAGTCTTCTCACTTTAGAAAAATGACAGATCCAATTTTCCAGTTGCTCAGGCCAAATTTCTTTATTTCTTTTTTGGGAACCCTACACCCAATCAGCAAATCTTGTTGGCTTCGCCTTCAACATATAATCTGAGTATTTCTCTCCACCTTTACTTGACTTCCCTGAGGCTATACCTCCTCTCCCCTGGATAGTACAGCAGTCTGATAACTGGCTTTCCTACTTCTTCTGCTCAAACCACCAATGGAGGAGGTCCCACAGCAGCAGGGGAACTGACACATCTCTCATTGTCTTACTTTCCCACTGCTGAGACACAGGACCTGTATCCACAACTGTAAGGAGAAAAGGTTTATTTTGGTTCACTGTTTGTAGGGGTTTCGGCCCATAGCTGGCTGGTTCCCAGGCAGGGTGGGATGGCAGAGGAGAAACAGCTCATGGCATGGCAGGAGGAAACAGAGATTCGGGGTGGAGGGAGATATACCCTTCCAGACCATGCCCCAGTGATCCACCTCTTCCAACCAGTATCATGTTTAGCTATAAACTCATCAATCTACTGGTCTAATCTACTGATGAGTTCATGCCCTCATGACCCCAAGCAATTCCCCAGAGCAACTTGCACAGTTTATGATGTGCTTGTCAGAGCCGCCATGGAAGGTTGTAAATGTTCATCGAATGTTCCTTGCTGAACAGCCAGAGAGTGTGGATATCCAGCCTCTTCACTGCTTTCCATACCATGAGGGCATCCAGCAGGTTGCCAGGTGCAGTGTGCACTGTATGGGTTGGCTGTGGCTCTGTTGTAGGAATTCAATAAATATTCTTTGAATAAAGGACTGACTGATGGCTGTTGGGGCCCTTGTTTATTTTCTTCTCTGGGACTTCGTGCCAATTACCTTCTCACAGCCTTGTTTTTGTCATCTGTTAAGGATATAATTAACATCTATCTCATAGCATGCTTATGACTGTCAGATGAAATGGTTCATTAAAACACCAGCACAAGCGTGATTACATTTATACGAAATATCCAGAACAGCCAAATCCATAGAGACTGAAAGCAGGTTAGTGGTTGCTGGGGCTGGAGGTGGGTGGGAGGGGTTGCTTACTGGGCAAAGGGCACTCTTGAAGTGAGGAGAGTGCTTTAGAGCTAGAGTAACGCTTGCATACTATTATAACCATTTAGTGATATGCCAAATGCTTCTAGATTATATGCTTGAGAATGGCTAAGAGGGTGAATTTTATTCTGGTTTTTTTGTTTTGTTTTGTTTTGTTTTTGGTAGTGGGGATTGAACTCAGGTCCTTGAGCTTGCAAGGAAGGCGGCAGAACCACTGAGCTGAATCCCTGGCCCTAGAGAGTGAATTTTATGTCATATGAATTAGGTCATGTTACAAGAATACCTCCATTAATAAAATCTGCAGCATTCAATGTTTCCAGTTGAATCTTAGATTTCCATGTTTCCAAAGTAAGCCTATGCCTTCCTTAGGGCCTCCTTGCCTCATCTAGAATGATTCCCTCACATTCATCATTTAGAAGTAGTATTTACTGTTGCCATTTAAGATAGTGAGCATCTGAAAACAAGACAGACGAAGATCCGATATTCAGAGTTCCCAGGCCCATGAGAAAAACTCAAAAGAAACTCACTGTATTGTGTGGTCAGGACATGGGGAAGAAGGGCTGAGGTCAGCCCGCAAAAGGGCATGGAGGAGAGAAGGGCAAGCCACTCACACCGGGGAGCAGCAGGGAAGGCTATTCTAGATGAAGGGGTCCCTGCCCTAGGGCCCCGAGATGTGCTGGAAAGGGTTAGAGGTGAGGTTTGGGGAAAGTGAAGGGCCCTAGGAAAGGGGAACAGAATGGACAAAGCCTGGGATTACAGTGAATTTCAGGGATAGGGTACAGCTGGAGCTACTGTGAGGTTGGAGCCTAGTGCAAAAATGTGGAAGGCCAAGGCACTTACGAGGGGGAGAGGTAGGAAGGAGCTGGTGGCGGTGAGTTTAGGACCCCACCCTAAGGCATTCGGAGCCCTGCTTGAATTGGCCTTCACTTTCCAGCACTTGCCCCCATTAAATAAAGCTCAAGGGACTGAGAGATTTCAGAAAGAAAAGTGTTTATCAAGCCATTATAGACATAGTGCTACCCAGAAAGGACTTGTCCTGGGATGAGCTGCTGGGTCCCCACCCACCCCTCCTGCCCCCAGCGAGGACAGGCAGCAGTTGGGAAAATGTCCACGGGTCTAAATCACCCAAGTACTAACTTTATACAATTTGGGGAAGGTAGGCCCAAGTTATTTACCTTGCACCCACACCGGCTAGTGATAAGAAGAGTGGAATTACATCAACTAGGGAAGGGTGCACGGAGAAGCAAGCATGGGCTCTGGATTACTAGGGTCTGCAAGCAGGATGCTGTGGCGCTCAGTTTTAGCACACATTCAAGAAGGTAAAAAAGATTTCTATTCTGGCGGGCCTGCAGCTTTTTACTGATAAACCTCCTCCATCTCTCTTTCCTTCCATCCCCCGATCTTTGTAATTAAACTGAGGACACCTCAGAGTTTTTTCCTTACCGCTCCCCTTTGCAGCTCTGCTCAGCAGCCCTTGCTCTAGCTGTGCCCTGAGGAGTCCTGATGACTGTGGTTTAGCTTTGGCTGTCCTTCCTCCCTGAGATTAAATTTACCAGAGGTTGCTCGGCCTCAGGCACTGGGCTGGTTCCTGGAAACCCAGAGGCTCCCAGAAGAGCTTCTGGGTGAATGGGGGAAGCAGCACAGGGAGAAATAATACAAGATACTGAGAGAAAGGCTGTTTCACAAAAGGTGCCACAGGCTTGGAACAGGCGGGGGCCTGCCGAGGTAGAGGGCTCTGCAAGACGCCTTCTCAACTGGTTTCTGAAGGACATGGAGGCACCAGTCCAGGGAAAAGGATCAAGGCCAAAAGGAATACGAGCACAGAGAGGGGAGGGGAAGGGAAGTCCAGAGCCGGGCTGGTGAGACCCAGATGAAGGACTGACCCCCCCATCCAGACAAACACACACATGCACATGTTTGCAGGGAATTCTCGAGCGTCCTCCGTCCCTCTGGCTTTGCCTAGGAAGAAGGCCCTCCCTCTTCCCCTGAGGATCCCGCCCACTGTCTGCTTCACAAGCCCGCAGGTTTCCAAGCTTGAACTCTGGACTTTGTACTCGTCACCGGAAATTCACTTGTTTATCAGGGCCTTCAGCCTCACCAGCTACCTGCTGAGGTCTGTCCCTTCTAGAGCCCCCTGGGCCCCCCCACGGGATCCCAGCTGTAGCCCCTCTGTTGGGGGTGGGGTGGAGGGAGCCTGCTGGACGCGCCGTGTGCTGCCGGGTCCTCCCCTCACCAACGGCTTCCGCTCCACCCTTTGCCTCCCTAGGTGAGTCAGGCGGGGGAGCTGGCCCGCCCACCTGTCCTGTCCGGGTTCACCACCTGTCCTTTGCAGACCCAGCCGGAAGCCACCTGCACCGACTGTGCACAGTTCCTGAAGGTGGGAGCAAAGAGTGGGGAGACACTGGGGGTGCGATAGAGGGCACTCAGGCTCTCCACGGATCTCCAGGAGCTTCTGGGAGCGATCTGGGTGGTGCTGTGTATGCGGACCTGAGGGGACTGTGTGTGACCAGAAGGTGTGGGTTCGCTCCGTGTGTGTGTGTGTGTGTGTGTGTGATGGAGGGTGGGCAGGCTAGTGTGGGCTGAGTTCAGAGGCCTTTCTGAGGAGTGTGTTTGTGCCCTTAGGAGGTTGCTGTGGGTCTGTCCTTGGGAAGAATCACAGACACTAGGCAGGGAGGAAAGGAATAGAAGTAAAATCTTAGCAAAGTGAAACTGAATTCATTTCAATGTGACAAAGTCTCATTTTTAAAGGACTTAGCGCCTAGGGTCCACTGTAGGCAACTAAGGATTGCTTGAGAATGAATCAAAGAACTGTGCACCTCTCCTTTCTGCACCCCCCCTCCCTTCTGGTCAGCTCCCTAACCAGTGCTGGGCAACTGAGGTGGCTCTGCCTGCACCCTAGAGACCGCCAGTCCTCCCAGCCCTCACCCTCAGGGAGCTGCCTTTCTGTTAATGGCTTGTTCTGACTGGTGGCTGGACAGGACAGCTAGGGCGGGGAGGATCGTATGATTTGGTCCTGAGGGATGGAGACTCCAAAAACTGAGTGTGGCTGGAGCCAGAGGGCAGGTGAGCTGGGAGGATTGTGTGTTGGGGGAAGGGGGAACTTGTGAAAAGGAAGAAGAGCTGGGCCTGAGGGCCGCATGTGGGATTTCCAAGGGTGAGCTAGGAATTCATATAAACCCAGGGACAGCATGGAGAACTTTGTTTTGGAGTACTGTATTGTGGATTGAACCCAGAGCCTTCCCATTGAGCTATATCCCCAGCCCTTCATATTTTGAGACAAGGTCTCGCTAAGTCACTAAGTTTGCCCAGGTTGGGCTTGAATTTATGAACTTCCTGTCTCAGCCTCCTAGACTGTTGTGATTAAAGACATGTACCACCAAGCCCAACTTCTGGAAGTTTTTTTCAAGTAGTTGATAGGGTCCCAGTTAACTCTGGGGAGTGGCCTAAAATCAGGAGAGATCAGTTTGTGGATTGTTACTAGAGGTGCAAGTTGAAGGTGGTAGACAGAGCAGAGAAGGGGCCATCTTTTGAGACGCCTAGAGAAGAACTCATGGGGCTGGATGGCAGTTTGGATGTGAGGAATGAGGGCATCATTCAGGCATCTGTGATGAATAATATGGCAGAGACTAGGTGCTTCCCTAGGTACCTCCTAGCCTGGCCATTCTGCCCTGGGACTCCTGGTTCAGGGGCTCCACCTGTGGATACTGCCCAGCCCTAGCTGTCCGTCCTCTAGTTACTCCCAGACTTTGGCGCTCTTCCCATTGCCATGCCTCCTTCAGGCTGCCCAGCCCTAGGTGGCTCTCTTCCAGGCCATTTCCTGATTCAGGGGGTCCTGCTTGGGGTAGTCCCAGGTGTGAGCCTCCACATGGGGACAGAGTGCCCCCCCATGGGTAGAGGTGAGTGCACAGGGATTGGCTGAAAGGGCTGATGCTTGAGGTGTGGGGGCAGTGGCTCCCAACTCAGAAGCACATGGGCGGGGCTGCCTTGGCTGTTTGGGGCCCTACGGGGAGGTGGGGTGGGAAGGGTAATTTGCTTCCTCCTCCTCCTGTGGTCTGCTCTGTGGCTGGGTAGCTCCAAACAACTGCTGTTGCGCAACCTTTGGGAACTAGGATCTGCCTCTGCCCTTATTCCCTGTCCTCACCCCTTCACCTCCAGCAATGTAGCTGACTGGACTCTAGTGTCAGACACAGTCCTGGGTTCAAATCCTGAGGTTTTACTGGAGTCATTTCACCTTTCTGAGCCTCAGCACCCTCATCTATAAGGTAGGGGTAATTAATGTTCCTGCCCATATAGTGGGGATTTGTGAGCACATTGCCTGGTGACTGAATCATAAGGAGTTGCTCATCAAGTTCTAAATGTGGTTTATGTTATAACAGCTTCTAGAGTGGAAGCCTTTACAAATTAATGCACAACTCAGCATGTTTCTGTCCTGCAGACAAGAGGCCCAGCACTGGTGCAGTGCCCTAAGATGGCTGTGGGTGTCACCTGGAATGTGCACCCTTCAGCTGTCCCTGACACCCACACCTCTGTCTTCCAGAACTTGTGCCCTAGGGTTGCTTGGCCTCTCGAGGTCTTCCTGGAGCCAGGGCTTTTTCTGACAGAGGTTGAGGTTGAGGCTCACTGATGTCATCAGTCCCCTTCACGAGTGAGTCAAATGAAAGTGAGTGAAGGAGGGTGGGTGGCTCAGGAGGGGGTGGGATCCTCTCTGCTGCAAGAATTGGGGGATTGCCCTGCCCACAGTCCCTTCGGTTCCCCCAGGAAACCCCATCTGGGCCCACGTGTAACGCTGTCCCTTTCTCTACAGCCCATATGGGGTCCTCAGAGCTTCCCACAGCATCGGCCATGGCCCCTGGACCGGGCACTGCAGGCCGGGCATGGCCTGTGCTGGTAGGGGTTGTGCTGGGGGCTGTGGTCCTCTCTGTCATCATTGCACTTGCTGCCAAATGCCACCTGTGCCGTCGATACCGCGCCAGCTTCCAGCACCACCAGCTGACCAGGACGGGGAGTGAGAACCACCCCGAGATCGGTGAAGAGGATGACGATGGCTTCATCGAGGACAATTACATTCAGCCTGGGGCTGGCGAACTGGAGACAGAGGGGAGCAGGGACCACTTCCCTCTCTGAGGCCTAATCTTTGGACACTCACCCTTCCTTCTGTGCCTCAAGTATAAGGACGGGATGCTGTGCTGCAGCTGCAGACCTCAGGGACAAGGTGGCTAAGGTGTGACTGGGGTGGAGCAATCCCCCGTTCCTGACGCTAGCCACCAAAGTGACAGTGACCCTCTCGACTCATAACTCCCCATGGCTCCCTCCTGTTGCTAGGAGAAAGCCTAATCATCACAAGAATATGGAAGAACAGCCCTCTGTGTTCAGGCCTTTGTTAGCCTCTTAAGTGTCTTTTTTGCCATCCTTTTGTTGTTGTTTGTGTTTTGGCCTTTACTTGCTGTTTATTTTCCACCCTTCACCATGCAGTTTATGCTCACATCGCTCCCCTTCTTGGGCTGTCATGTCCTTCACCCAACTCCCCGCTGCCAGTGACGACAAGTGGCCCCCAGGCCCCCACGGCCTGCCTACCTGCTGGTCTTTGATATGTGCCAGGGTGACACATAGAAATCAGTGCCAGGTTTCTCGAATTTTTATCTTATCAACAAAGTCAGTGATCTGGTTATAATATATTATGTTTTTCACAGGAATTAATAAATCTATTTTCATTTTGAATAAGAAGTCAGTGTTCATTTGTATTTTTCCCAAACTGGAATGTATCACGCATAGTGCTCAGACACTGCCCCGACTTTCCCCTCCTTTTGGAGCACCTCCACGAGCTTTTCCTTTGATCACAGCCCCAGTTTCCCCAAATTGTGCAGGCCCATTTTATTTTAATTGTTGGAAAGTTGGCACCTGCCATCACCATGCCTGTCCCTGAGGCTAGACTGTGAGATCTCTGAGGCTGCATCTAATCTGTATTCTCAGATTCTTACACAAGGCGGATGGAAGGTGTATATGTGCAGCTAGCCCTCCATATCTATGGGCTCTGCATCCAGCCAGCCATGGATCAATAATATTTAGAGAATAAAATTCTAGAGACATCCAAAAAGTAAAACTTGAATTTGCCATACACCAAGTACTATGATGAATCTGCACGAATGAAATGATGGGTAGACATGCTTTAGGTACTTTAAGTAACTTAGACTTGATTTCAAGTATACAAGAGGATGTAAATAGGTCATATGCAAATAGTATACCATTTTATATAAGGAACTTGAGTATCTGTGGTGTGGTCCTGGAACTGATCCCTGCAATGCTGGATTCTGAAGAGCAGTTGTATTTGTTGAGTGACTGTGGGCTGGGGAATGACCGGATGAAGGGCAGAGAAGTAGAGACACATGTGGAAGATACTCCCAAGAGGAGGAAAAGGATGGGGTCATGACTGAGCAAGGGGGCAGCTTTAAGAGGGAGAGGTTACAGTGAAGCTTCTTTAAATAGGAAAGAGTTTGGAGGGAAATCCTGACTATTGCATAGAATCAAAGGGACAGCTGACCTAGGAGACAGAAAGCAAGCAGTCCCACTGGCTCGAGGTCAGGATTGTGCCTCTAGCTTTCTGTCACTTAGGGGCATCGATGAGACTCTCCCAAACTGTGGATTCCAAATGTCAAGTACTCAGGGAGGAGAGTCTGTTTAGGTGATTTGAGTTACATATCCACCACTAGCTATGGCAGTGGCAGGGTCATGTGTGGTTTGGGGAGGCCACTTGTTTACTTCAGATCATTCCTCCTGGGCAGTTCTCATGAGTCAGGAAGTGACCCCTCCATGAATCCACTGGGGTGCAATGATGAGGGAAGAGCCAGCAGAAAAGGAAAGCAAGAGGCAGCTGACCCAAGAAGAGGCAGGAGAAAGAGGCAGGAGGCTCAAGAGGTCTGGAGTGTAGAACCTAAGGGTGCCCACAGCAGTGATGAAACCTGAGAGAGCCAGATTGGTTATGGTCTTGGAAGTGAAGATGCAGAGCTCACCTTCCAGCCTAAGAGCAACTGAGATTCATTTGTGGACTACTTTTTGTAAGGTAGTGATATAATCATGACAGAAAATTTGTTCTGTCTGCTGTGCAGAGATGGACTGGAGGGTGAGCTGGAGAGAGAGTGGAAGATCTGACTAAGTGTGGCATAAGAACAGACTGCAGAGATGGGAAGGAGGCAGAGGTGACAGAACTTGTTGATCTTGGACGTGGAGAGCAGAAAATCATCAGTACACTGCCCGGGTTTCTGGCTCAGCAGCTGGGCACAGTGAAGAAGAGCAGGCTGGGCAATGGTGATTCAATGTTGGATGCAGGATTTCTGGGGAGATACCCAAGGCCAGCTGGTTCTCAGGTTCACAGAGAAGTCCAACCTGTGGTCCTGGGTTTGGGGATACTCAGAAATGTGGTCACTGAGAGCAAGAGGAGCAGAGTGAGAGCAAGTGCTGAGGATTGGAGTGGGTTCAGGGATTGACCTCGGAGGAGGACCTGGCAGGGGAGACTTGGAGGAAGCAGCCAGCTCAAGCAGCCCAACTCAGCAATTGCTTCTGAGCCCAGAGATGTCTGACTTGAAGGTCTGGGAAGAGCAGAGGCTGGCCCAGCCCAAGACACTGGAGGAGCACCCAGAGCAGTGGCCTAGGCCACTGAAAGCACCTTTTGACCTCTAAGGGAGGAGCTGCCGTGAACGCGGAGCCTGCCCCCCCCCCTTCCCTCACGCCCGCCAGAGCAGCTGCCCTTGTGTGATTCCATGCAGGAGAGAGGCTCAACTCCTCCCATGCCGTAAAGGAGTGAGAATGGCCTTTAATCCGTCCTGTGCATCCTCTCACTCTGCCCCTGGTTTTAGATTCTTCAGGATCTGGGCCAAAACTCTTGAGAGGACCAGGAGAAGGCAGAGCACTGACCCCTGAAAAGCAGTTGCTTTTGCTTTTCCTGAGCCCACACCCCACAAAGGACCATGAGTGAGGGCTTCTTAAACCTCCCACTGGGGCCAAGCTGGGCTGAACAGAGCCCTGGAGTCCTAAACACCTTGGTCCCTGTCCTTCCAGGATGACTCATATGAATCCCCCACTGTGTTCTGCATGACTGGGCCCAGACATGAAGAGGGCGCAGGACATGGGTCCAAGGTCCAGAGGGCCAGGGGTACTGGAATCTCTGGGAGGCCTGGCACTTGCTGGTCTGACCCATCAGGTCCTGGCCTTAGCCTGTCTGCCCACAGCCCCGTGTCTGTCCCTCACTCCTCAGTAGCTCCGCAACCCCATTTCAGACCTGACTGTGGAGGACAATCTAGCTTCCTGCTTTCTCCAAAGGCTGAGCTATATCCCTTGTCCAATAGGGAGAACAGAGACAGAGGAGTCACAAAAGCCGCAGACGTGCAGTAAGGAAACTCTATCAGCATCCCAGTAGAGTTACAAAGTGGTTTGAGAGCACAAGCTCCCTGGATTTAAATCCCAGCTCTGCCATTTACATACTGATGACCTTGGGCAAGTTACTTAGTCCCTCAGTACTTTTAACTTCTTTTTAGTAAAATGGGGATCATAACAGAACTCAGTGCACGTGGTTGTTAGCAGGACTAAATGAGTTCTATATGTAAAACAGAATGGAGCCGGTGCTCTGCCAGTGTCAGCTGTGTCGTGCCTAGCACACCCTGTGCGATATCTCTCCACAACAGGTAGTGAACATTAATCTCAAGGGAGCAGCTTACCGTGCCTCTTCCCCACTCATTCACTTCTAGCTGGAGACTTGAACTTTTCTGTTTCCCAGGACTCAGGTAAGAAGTCTGATCAGGACAGCAAAGGGTTTGGATTCTAGAGCTGTAAAAATAACACAAGCAGCAGTGAGAGGACTGATAGGGTTTTAGTACTTTCTTGCTGCATCTTTGCTGGGCAGGTGACTCTGTTTTACCAGTTGTGATTCAAATAAGTTAACTGCAACTTGCAGGCCTCTCCCAGCAATAAGGCCATTGGAAGAAAAGATAAAGCAGATTTAGAGAAGGAAACTCCTGCATGTGGGACTTATCTCCTCCTTGCCTTGGCTGGCTGCCCTGACCCACTCCCAGTAAATGGGAGCTCAGAAGTTTAGGGGATACAAGCTCTAGGTTTGGGATAGTAGGTTCTAAAGCGAAAGTCTCATGCCTGTCCTTACCTCTTTGCATCTGGGGTCCTGCAGCCCTGGCAACCTGTGAGTCTATCACCAGCAGTGTGTCCTGGGCCCTGGAGAACAGTCAAGGAGGCATCCTGTCTGGGTACAGGTGCTGAGCATGGGTCGGGGGCAAGTTCAGTTTCCTGGGTCCTGGAGAATGCCCCTTTAGGGAGACCAGGTGTCCCCATAAAGCCTGAGGTGCCATGTGGGATGTGACTGGATATAGTGTAAGGACCTCTTTGAGCCAGCACTGAGAATCTAGACTTTGACTGTTAAGGCCAGGAGGGATATGTGCCAAGTGTCTCTCGCCACCTCACCTGTCACTTGAGTGCCGTTAAGTCCAGGCTACCCTACTCTGCCTCTCCATCAGTCCCTTCTTGTCTTTCTTCTTCATTAAGTACCAACTTAGATTTTTGAGGTCCATGACGTCAACCTCTCCCATGCCAATATGATCAGCTTACCTGCCCCACTACCTCACATGTGCACACCTCTGGTAAAACTCCTCTGAGACCACCACTCCCGGGCTGGTATCCCAGCCTCTGGCGTTGACTAGTCTCCAGCCTCGTGTGGGCTTTCAGAAACCTTGCTGTTTCCTTGATCAGATTCCTCTCCTTTCTCCGTAACAGCTTTTTAAAAACTGCCTCCACTTTGCAGAGAGAAAAGCTCTTGATCAGGGCCTCGCTGTTTTTGGCTTCAAAACCCACACACTTACCCCAATCCCTGCATTCTTCCTTCTATCGATATACAGCTGCAAACCCAGTCCCTCCATCTCTTGATCTGGGTCCACCTGTCTCCCTCTGAGACCAATTTATTCTACGCCTTGTATCTCCAACCCCTCTTTTCCCAATGTTTAAATAATCGCATTACTCTCATCTTAAAAGGCTTCTTCAGTCAGTCACAAAGATCTATTGGTCCCACCTTGTGAATGTCCATCGAGTCTGCTCTCTTTGAACTCTATCCCAGCAGCTATCCCCGAGCCTCACCTCCATGTTTTACAGCTGAACTATGCCTTAATTTCTCATCTGGTTTCCCTGCCTCCATTTTTGCCCCTTCCAATTAATTCTGTTTCACCGGTAGAGTGATCCCCTGAATACACAATTTTGACTAGAGTGTTCCTCGGCTCAGCATTCTCCTCTTGGCTGCAAGGAAGTAACACGCCTGCCAAGAGGTCTCTGACGTCCTCGGACTGTCCCAGTGCACCTCCCTGGCCTCACCCTCACCTCTTCCCAGCCCCACACACCCTCCATGACTCCCTGGGGAGCCGGAGTCCTCCTGGGTTTGGGCCCTTCTTCGTGCTGTTGCTTCTTTCTAGGACACTCTTCCTAGCCTGTCTTGCTTGGCCAGCTACTTCTCATCCCCCCGGGGCCTGCTGAGCTAGTACTTCCAGGCTCTTCAGCCATTTCTTCTTCTTTTCCTCCTAAGACCAATCCCCAGCTCCGTGTAGCAGCCCATGAGCCCACATCTGATTCTGGCCACGGCACTCCCTCGGTTAGAATCTCCCCATGCTTCTCAGCATCCAGAAGACAAAGTCCAGATACCTCCGCAGGGCTGTCAAAGTCATTGAAGGGACAGCTGTGAAAAAGCAGGGCTCCTGTACTCTACTCCCATTATCTGAAGTGGGAGACTGAGTCCTCTGCCGAAACTTGGCATGGGAGGCAAGCCCTGTGCAGATTTCTCTGAGAACCATCTCCTTGGGGAACAGGAAGTGATAGATGGGTGATTCATCTAGGGAGGGGATTGTGGTGGGAGCGTGGAACCAAAGGGCAGGGGGCTAAGGAGTGGAGGGGTCTGTCACAGAGTGCACGAAATGGTAGGCTAAGAGTCTTAACTAAGTGACAAGGGAGGTGAGGACAGTGGGGGAGTAACATCAGCATTTTTTTTTGGTACTGGGAATAGAACTTGGGATCCTGTGCTTGTGAGGCAGACGGCAGCACCATTGAGCTAAATCCCCGGCCCAGCTTCTTTTTTTTTTTTGGAGATAGCATCTTGCTATAGTTCAGGCTGACCATGAACTCACTATGTAGCCGAGGCTGGCCTCGATCTTTCAGTGATCCTCCTGCCTCAGCCTCCCAAGTTCTGGGATTACAGGCTTACACTGTCATGCTGGGCTAAGGAAGGCACAGCTCTAGAAGACAGAGACTGAAGAAAGGCTACTGGACCAAGCAGGGCTTTAGATAAATGCTTTGAGCAAGCTAGAGAAAGGCAGGAGGTGGTGGCAGGTCTGCTTTAGAGATGGATGAGGAAGATGCATTTCTGTCTGCTTGTGTCTTGGTATAGCTCTCACCTGTCGCCCGTCTCACATTACCTTCTGGAACAGGCACCATAGTCTCCACTCTGCATCCTTTCCCGGGCAGCCTGATGCTGGTCTTGCCTGTGACACTGCTCAGCGAAACCTTTATGCTACCTAAACCTCTCCTCGTCTTTATTTTTTTTCTTAAAAGAAATATGGTTGGCCTCTAACCCTGTCTCAGACAAAGGAAAATGGACTTCTTCCCATATTATAGAATGGGAGGGCATTCTGTGGTTCTCTCACCACCGAAGAGCTAGTACAGTGCTGGATGTCTCTTGAAAACCCAGGAAGAGTGAGATTTGTGGGGTGGAGAGAACATGGGAGGGACAGAGAGGGGCCAAGCACACAGTGACCTATCTTCCCTTTCCTTCCTTCCCAGCTAACGCTGGGTCTCCTGCCCCTGCCTTCATCACACTGCTGCTTGCCCAAGTGAGAGTCCTTCATCCACCCAACACAGCAGCTTTGTGTTGGGCCCATGTTAGGAGCTAGAGATGCAAAGATGAGCGAGCAAGACCAAAGCTTCCTGGCACGAACCCAACCCCTGTTGAGGTGGCAGGGACCCGGAAAGAATCCCAGCTGGGGTCTGCTATTGAGGGTGCTAGGGGCATAGCAAAGGAACAAATTGCTAGTTTAAGAGAGGAGGGAAGGGAAGACTCTCCAGAGAATGGGAGTCACCAGAGGACTGGGTCTTGAAGGACAAGAAGGCAGAGAACAGAACATATAAAGGCTGGGACAGACGGGAGAACATGTGAGTTTGTGGAAATGGTTTGGAGGACCACGGAGGTTTTGGAGGGGAGAGTGAGACCGGATGACACCAGGAAGCCGGTAAAAGGTGGGGAGCCATGGAAAGATTCTCACATGGGATTTCATTTTGGTTTTAGGGTGCTCATTCTAGCTCAAGCGTATGCCTGTGGTGATTTTTAAGAGAAGAGAAGAGCAAAGTGGGGAGATTAGTAAGGACGCAGCAGTGCAATTCAGCCAGACAAAAAGGATTCCTTTTAGGTTGTGGGAGACTTGGGTTACAGTATTAGGCAAAATTTATGGGGGGAAACAAAGGAGTTGGTAATTTTTTGTTGTTCTTGGGACAGAAGACAGTGAAGGAACCGCCATTATCTGGGACCTCTCTGAGGTCTCTGACCTGGATGCTGGGTGACTGGTGGCATCTGGAGATGGAGGATCTCCTTCAAGCTTGACAAGAGGGGATTCTGTTGTGAATGTGTGGATGGCACAGGCAGGGGACAGGTTTCTGTTGTACCGGTGTTCTTAGACATGGCCTGCCTTTTCCTCCTTCAGTTTGTATCTCCTTATCCATCAGCCTGGTGTTTACTCAGACTTGTTTGCCCTGGCCTGCTGAAAGCATTTTCTCCCACCAGAGTCCTTGCAGCTCTAGCGTGAGCTGTCTCTTAGGAGACAGGTCTTATTCCCCCGCCTCTCTGGCCTCCTCACATCCCGCAGGCAACCTACCCTTAGCATAGCAGGAAGCGGTGCTGCAGTAACAGACACACTTGTGCCTGCTTCCAGTGGAGCTTGATCAGGAAATGTCCCTGTCACCACAGAAGAGTCGCTCCCTTCCAGGACTGCCTTCAAGCAGGAAGTGCCCTTTACCATGTCAAACAGCTTTCCAGACACAGGAGCTCGGAAGCAGACTGGCCAGTGTACCAACCGACTGTGCTGCCCTGGCTTCCAAGGGGGGCAGGGAGATGCAGCCTCCCCACTGCCCGCAGGGAGGCAGTGAAGGGAGACCCTGAAAGGAAGGTGAAGAAACAGCCCCAATGCCTAAGGCCTCCTAAAGCAGCATGTGAATAAATAGGAAGGACTCAGTTTTGCTACCCTGCCTATCCACTCCACCCTCTTCCCTTCTCCCCTCCTGCTCCTTGTTCTGGGAGGAGAAGCCCTGGGTTGGCATTGTTTATAAAGGTGGAAAGGGCTAGCTTAGGAGGGGTTGGAGTGCAGGGGAAGGGGAGGGAGGGTCTCTGGGGTGAAGACAATGACAATGACAATAGCAGCCCTGTTTTATTGCACATCTGCTATGAGCCAGTCCTTCCATTCATGATGACATTTGCTCCTCACAGTTGATGGCAACCTGAACCTCAAGAAACAGCCTAGTGAGGGTAAATGACTTGCTCGAGTTGCCCAGCTGCAAAGTGTTCAAAGCAAGATTCCACTCCAGGTGCATCTTAGTCTGGAGCCAACGTTCCCTCTGCTTTACCCGCAGAACTCTTCTCGATGAGCAGTCGCAGGTGCAGTCCCAGGGGCGGGGAAAAGACAATCTCTATGGAAACACCTATGTAATACCTGGCAGGTATTACAAGGTGAACTGGAGATGAGGAGTGTTGGAAATAGGAGTCAAGAATCTTCAGGGGTCATAGACGTTTCTCTGCCTAGGGACCCCAGCCCCAGACAGGCAGAGGGACAGTTCATGGACACAAACACAGTTTTAAGAAGGGACACACTCACTTTCCCACGCTATGGATATGTGGTTCTGGATCACACAGTCCCACAGAAGCGCTGACATACACAGAAGGCCCTGGGACGGACACACACACACACCACACACACACACACTCATGCACGTGTGAGCACATGCCTTGGCAGAGTTCTGTAGACACCAAAGAAGGTTGTGCGAAGGAGGGCTCTGGCTGGTCAGATGAGGCTGGCGACACTGGATGTGGTCTCATGGCGCTGGCCAGCAGACAGCTGTCCTGAGATGCTGAAGATGCTGCTAGTGCCACCACGGGGCACCCCAGAGGCTGCCCCGTGGAGGGGAGGGCAGTGTCCACTCACACATACTTGATACAGCAGCAAGCCCAGCAGCAGGAATGAGCCCAATGCGGTCAGGGCAATGCCCACTGACAGCATGGCGGCCAGGGGCCGAGCAGGGGCAGGTGCAGCAGCCAGCCCAGCCAAGGTCAGGCCAGTGACCAGCAGCACCAAGCCACTGAGCAGCACCACTAAGGCATCGGCTCCTCCACCACTGCGCAGCAGGGCCACGTGGTGGGCTTGGCGTATGCAGTTCATGTCCTGCACAGCTGAGCTCATCAGCTGCTTTACCAGAACCAGCAGGGCCAGCAGGCAGAGCACGGTTCCTGTTGCTAGGCGCCACTCACCAGAGCGGCTACTGGTGGAGGACAGCAGTGCCACGCCGCCTGCCCCACAGCCTGCCACAAGGCCCACAGCCACAGTGAAGCAGAACAAGGAGCGCCGTGGCTGCTGGGACCACCAAAGCTCCACCTGTTCGGCCAGCACGCCTGGGGGCAGCTCCTGGCTTGTGGAGGCTCGGGCTGGTTCAGACATGGCTTGGGTAAGCAGGTCAGGACAGAACGTCAGTTTTAGAGGTCAGAGGATACAGATCATGACCTGGTACCTCCACCATCTGCTCGTCAGCCGCAGGCCCAGAGTCTCATTCCTTTTAGCCCAGGCTGAAGTCACCATTACCTACAAGGGCAAGACCACAGTGTTATCTCCCACCCGCCGGACCCTCAGGGACTCACCTGGGAGCCTTAGGGAAGATCCTTTCGAATCCTCCCCAGCGTCCTCTGGAGTCTCCTCTGGGAAAGCCCCCTGTCCAGCATCCCACCTTGGGGAAAGCGACTACAGTGCCCCAGGAGAGCTCCTTCCCTCTGAGGTGCTCCCTGCTTGCCCAGCCCCTGACCTCTGTGGCTCTGGCTCTCAGTTGACTGCCCCATCCTGGCTGGCCGAGGGAGCTGGTGCCACAGAGGATGATGGGACCAACGGCCAGAGATAAAGCCTCATTCAGGATCAACTCACATGGCCTCAGCTGTCACTGCTGGTTCCTGGGAGGGAGTTGTGGAGAGGGAGGGCGCTGGTGACTTAACCCTTTTAGAACCAGCAGCCTGACCCTGAACCTTCTCTCTTACAGCTGTCTGCTCTTTCTCTGTGGATTGGGATCTGACCCCTAACACCTCGCTTCCCCTAATCCCATCCACTTCACAGCCTGACGAGCAATAAAAGGTGCTGGTTCCCAGAGTCCTCTCTGCCACACAGATCTTCCTTCTGAGGCAATTGACACTTTGATGTCCAGTCATCATCTCTGATGCCACGAGTCCCAACCCAAGCTGGTCATCTTACTCTAAACTTGCTTTTCCTCTGCTTTTCACATCACTTCCCTCTCAGCTTCAGGAGTTGCTCCTCTTCCTCTGCCACACCCAACCCCAGGGCAGAGGCTCCTCCAAACATTTCTCCATCCGGTTCCTGGTCTCACCCCGTTGTGCCTACCTCTTCACTCCCACCTGTACTGATCTTCCTGCCTTTCCACTCCTCCCCACTCTCCCCTGCACTCCACCTATGCCAGCCTCCTCCATGATTTATCCAGAGGGGTGCAGAGGAAAAAGGAGGACTCTGAACTTGAACCCCAGCTCAGTCCTTCCCGACATGGAAAGTAGAGAGGGGCCTAACAGTAGTTAGTAGTCCTTATCCTGTCCCCTAGAGGCAAAAACCAGGCAGGCACAATCCCTGCCCTCCGGGATCCCCATTTGCAGAGTGGTCAAGAGCTGGGTGTGCATCAGCACAGGACCCCAGGAGCCAGGACCCTTCCCTGACCCTCTGGGAACCCCATGAATTCACTTGTCAGAGCCTCAATCTCCTTTTCTGAAAACTGAGGACAATGGCATTTATCTTGAGGGGTGGGGGGCAAATTATTGGACATCTTCATTTAGCCCACACAGAGGTTAACGCATGAATAAGTGAATAAGTGAACTTTTTGAATAAGTGAACGAGATGTTTTCGCTTCCATTCAAGATGGAACACGGAACATGGCTCTTGTATTACTCCAGGAATCTGACGTGACCCTGCACAGGTTATACCCCAGGAGGCACGGGTCCTTCACCAGCCCACCATTGGGTCTGCTGGGCACACAAGAGGGCATCGCTGGTGGCGATGCTCCCGAGGGAGGTGGAGGAGGGGGCCGTGGGCGGGGCGTGGAGCCCTCCCAGCATTCCCCAGGGCGGTGACTTGCTGGTCAGAAAGGGCTGGCACAGGTTGCTCTGACTGTGGGCCTAGGCTGGGGGTGGGGTGAATATTCTCAGAGGAAGAGTCAGGGAGAGAAAGTCGGGTAGAGTGGGTGGGGGACTGTGGGGCACTCACGAGAATGTGCTGGATCCGATTTGAGCAGGAAGGGCCCAGCAGGTGGACTGCTCTAACTCCGTTTCCGGGGAGACGCTTCACCTGCCTAACCTGCACGCAGGTGAGCCTGGAGGGAGGGGGATTAACAGGTGGTGTTTCTAGGGCAGGGCCTGAGCCGATTGGCTGACGTGGCACTGCTTCTGTTGGGCCGAGACATTCCTAGGGAGGGAGGGGCGTCTGTCAGCTGCTGTTGGACTCTGAACACAATTAGCAGACCTACGCTTCAGAAGGAATGTTGTCCCTCAGCTCTAGAGCCGGAGCCCTAGCCCAATCCCCAGCCCCAACCCCACTGCAGTTTTAGTTCCAGCCTCAAACCTACCCCAACTGCAGGTGCAAAGTCTAACCAGCACTCCCACTCCCACCCTGACCCTGCTTCCTCGCCAAACCTGACCTCGTTTCCATTTTAAAGCCCAGCTCCCGCTCATAGCTCTAACTCAGATTCTGGACTTAGGTCCTGGACCCCCAGCTTCCTCCTCAGCCCCACGCTTGCCTCCTATTCCTGAGTCTAGTCCCCCAGACCCCAAATTCAACCTCAAACTGAGCCTCAACCCCAAATCCCAGCACCAGCTGATCCCCAAAGCAGGCTCAGCACCTCCATCCTTTGCTCTGCACAGAACTGGATCCCTCATAAGGCCTTTGTTCGATCTCCTCGGAGGCCCAGAATGCCTGGCTGTGGTGGCCTGCTCCCTGGGGCTGAGTCCTGCTGGGGTGGGGGCAGAAGGAGGAGTAAAGGCCTTTCCTAGGGAGGATCCTGGAATAAATGCCACACTACTTCCCAGGGTTCACGACCCCTGCCCTCCTGTTAGAGTAAGTGGTGCTGAGTTCTGCAGGCTCTGTCTTCCACTCTGCCTTTGTGGCTTTTGAACTCAGAGTTCCCTTTGCCTGGGATATTTACCACTCCCCCGCCTCAGTCTGGTCAACTCAGATTCTTCAGTTGTGATGTCCCCTCCTCCAGAAGGCCCTCTCTGACTTACATTCACTCACGGACACCGTGCTTCCCTCATAACTGCTTTTCCTGCAACATGTTCCATTACCCTTTATTATCTGCCCCTCACTGGATGTGGGGTCCTTCCTTGATGAGTGCAGGAATAGTGCCCGCTTTGCTAATTGCTCCTCAGTAGCCAACACTCAGTAGACTGCACGTGGGGAATCATCAATAAGTGTTTGTTTAGTGATTGGCTCAATATATAGATGTGTGGACAGACAGGTGCAGAGGTTTTGGCAGGAAGCCTTAAGATGAAACAGGAAAGACAAGTTTGGCTCAGGCTGGGGGGTTGTAGAATCCCTCGGGGTGGCATTTGGACTGTACAGGGTGACCATGGAGGGTACTGAAGTGTGACAGGGACATGGCTAGAGGCCCCTGCTTCTCACAGTACCGTACGCACACCATTCCTAGAGTGGCAGAATGGGCTCTGATGGAATGGGACACAACAGTTCCTTTAAGACCTCTTCTCTCTTCTTCTGATGTACGTACAATAGAAAGAAGAACAAAATCAAAGTTATTTTCCCATTATCCGTTCCCCAAATAATCGTGCCTGACCTGCTGTGTTCCCCTTTGCTTGGTCCTGTGGGGAGGTCTGGGGGTGGCATAATCGTGGACTGACAGCACCTGTGTAACTTCAACTTTTCTAATAGCCTCCTTTTGAAGAAATAGGTGAGATCAGCACATGAAATAACATTTTAGTTTCAAAATATATTTATTATTATTATTATTATTATTTTGTTTTTTGAGGCAGAGTCTCTCTATGTGGTCCAGGCTGGCCTTGAACTCTTGGTGTTCCTCCTGCCTCAGCCTCCCAAGGGCTGGAATTATAGGTGTGTGCCACCACACTCAGCTTCAAAATATATTTTAATGTATAAATTGTTAATGAGTGGGCCGGGGATTTAGCTCTGTGGTGCCACTGCCTGACTCACAAGTGCAAGGTCCTGAGTTCAATCCCCAGTACCAAAAAAACAAACACCCAAAAATAAACAAACAAAAATTGTTGAGTTATTTGAAAATCTTTTATTTTGTGTAAAGTCTTGAAAATTCAATGTATATTTTACACACACACTGTACTTCTGTTTAGGCCAGTCCTATTTCCAGTGTCCAATCATCATTGGCTCGTGCCATGTCCCTACTGGGTGGCAAGCCTCTAAATGTCCTTCCCCTGAAGAAAAGGATAGGGCAGTCTGATGGTACAGGGGCAGGTCAGTGGCATGATGTTATAGGTGTTCAAAAGGTTTGCAAAGCATTATAAAAGTGCTCCCTGTATACTAAAGGGGCTCAGAGGAGCAGGGGTGCAGACAAGGCTTTGCCAGCTGTGGATTCCTCTTACACACATCAGATATTTATTTACTCTCCTCATCCCAAGGAAGGACCAGTCCCAGGCAGACCTGCTGTCCAGTGGTCCCAGGCAGAGCTGGGGCAGGGGACTCTTTAGCTTTTGTTTCCATTGTTCCTTCCTCTGGGACTTTGAAATGGGGGAAAGAGTCTAAAAGCTACCACTGTGTAAACACTGACTGGGCGAGCCTTTGCTTCTGGGACTTACCAAGTAGTGGCCTGTAGTTAAGTGGACCACAGGTTCTGCACAGGGCTGTTAAACTCGGTCTCCAAAGTAGAGGTCACAGGGGCAGCTCAGACGGGCAGTGATGCAGGTCAGGGGGAGAGGTGGCCTGGGCACCCTGGGGAAAGTGTCCATTTGATTTGCCCTCAGATGAATTAGAAGGTGGTGGGGAAGGTATTGGGACGAGAATAGAGAGACTGGGGGCCCGCTTCCCTGCATCTGCCTCGTTCCTACCTCATACTATGCTTGGCCAGGAAGCTGGAGTAATATTACAAAGAATCAACAAATGGGATCACATGAAATGAAAAAGCTTCTTTCTGCACAGCAAAGGAAACCACCAATGAATGGACAACCTACAGGATGGGAAAAAATTTTTGCCAGCCACTCCTCAGAGAGGAATAATATTTAGTGTCGGGAGCATTTCTCCATACATTTTGGGGGAAAATCATTTCATAATGAAAGTACAACTATAGTTGTCTAAGGCTCAATGTCACCCTGCCCTCAGCGGCTATGGCCTTCGGATACATTTTGCCTCCCATCAGAGCGGAGCCTCAAGGGACCCATGACGCTGTGGTGGTCCACGGCAAGACTGCATCAGCTGAAGACATCCTGGTTCTTTTGAGACCCACGTAGTAATACAATAAGAAAAAGGTTTCACCTGGGGAGAGACTAATTCCTCGTCAAACTTAACTCATCACACCCAGCATTGTAAGAATGCTGTGCGTACAGTCATCCTCAACAGAAGGACCTCGAGACTTAAGATCTTCACCAGCTCCTCTTGTACTGTGACCGCAGCCCCCTAAGCCATCTGATGCTCCCTCCTGTTCTTGTGTGCATCCAATGATTAGTGGCGAGCTCAGAGAGTCTTCGTCTTCGTCCACTCTGAGGCACTGACCTCCCACCCGCCCCCATATATTTTGAAATAACCCAAGTCTCTACCGTCTTTTTTCTTTAGCCCTTGCCATCTCCCTTTCTAGGTAGTTGGAGAATTTTTTTTGGTACCGGGTATTGAACTAGGGTCCTTGCACTTGCAAGGCAGGCCACCGAACCGCTGAGCTAAATCCCGGCCTGGTAGTTGGAGAATTAATTACCCTCTATAATCTAGAATATATAAAGAACTAGAAAAAAACCACACACCCCCAAATTTAAAGACCTAGTCCAAAAATGGGCACCTGAAATGAATAGACACTTCTCAGATGAAGAAGTAATGGCCAATAAATATATGAAAAAAGGTTCAGCACTACTGGCCATTCAAGAAATGCAAATTAGGGCCAGGGATTTAGCCCAGTGGTTCTGCTGCCTGCCTCGTGAGTGCAAGGTCCTGAGTTTGATCCCTGGCACAAAAAAAAAAAAAAAAAAAAAAAATTAAGACTGAGACCCCATCTCACTCCTGAAAGAATGGCTACCATTAACGAGTCAACCAAAAACAAATGCTGGAGGGGCTGTGGGGTGTGGTGGGGTAGGGGCAAGGAATGTTTCTCCATTGTTGGTGGGAGTGTGAATTGGTACATCACTATGGAAATAGGTATGGAGATTCCTCAAAAAAACTGAAAGTAGAGGTTCCATTTGATCCAGCTGTTCCCTTCTAGGTATCTCCCTGAAAGAGTTAAAGTCCTACTCTGTCACTGAAAACAGAACAGAAAGAATTAAACAAGATTGGACTTCTGGCCCCAGATTCACTAGCCTGAGGCTGTGTTCACCCACTGTGCAGTCAAGAAAATACCCTGCTGCCCTGTTGGCCAAGGTGCCGTGTTTTGTTATGGTGGGGCTTTCCTGTGGCCTAGACTTCTGCCTCCTCCTTACCAGCCGGACAGCAGCCGGGTTTAGATAGGCCCAGGTTAGCTTAGCTGGGAGTTTTCAGCACTTTTTCTTTCTGGTTTAGACGCTCTGGGGTCATGCTGTAGAACCCAGCATCTGGCCGGTGGAATTTTGCTTGGAAGCCTCTCCAGTGCGGTATACAAGAACTCGGAATTTAAAGTCCTTTGGGAGATGGGGCTACAATTCTGGCCTTGTCTGCGTGACCATGTAGTAGTTCATTTACTACTTGGTTTTGATTTCCTCATTGATAAACTGAAGTCCATCTTGTGGATGAAAGATGATGTCCTGACTCCTAAGATATTTTTCGGTTGAATTCCCATCATTGGAATGTGGATGTGTCCTGGCCACAGCAAATTTCCTTCTGGTCCTCAGGAGGGCTCCAGTTTCCTCTGTGCTTTTCTTCTTCCCTAGTCAGGCTCCCTCTCCCTTGGCTTGGCCAACTCTCTCCAGTCCTTAAATTGGGAGTGTTCACTCCTCTTCCTCCTCTGCCATCCCCTTGGTCCAAGCCACTGGCCCGTCACAACTGGACATCGACAACTTCCTTCTAACTGGCCCCCTGCCTCTACTATTGGGTGTCCTCAATCAGTGCTCTGCACAGACACCCAGATGAACTTTAGATGCAGACACAGCTCTTGCCCTCACAGAGCTGTCCTAGCAGGAGAGGCAGGAATTAGAAAACTAAATGAACGTGGTGTGGTAGGGGTTGTGAAGAAAAACAATAGGGCAGGTGTAATTTATATGGGAAGGGTCAGAGACTGACTTTCTGAGGAAGTGACATCGAAGCCAAGATCTGAAGGAGGTGTGGGGACAACAGTATCTCAGGCAGAAGAAGCAGGAAAGATCCAAGGCCAAGAAGACCACAGTCTGTTATAGGAGCTGCAAGAAGGCCAGTGCCAAGGGAGTCTGGACAGAAAATGGCAGTGACTCACAGCAGCCTAGTGCTAGCCACTGGAGTGCAGTCTGAATCTTTGATGTGCTTTCAAAGCTCTGAATGTTCTGGCCCAGCTCACTCCATATTTCCCCTAATCTCATTTCATTCCAGTTTCTTCTGCAAAGATAAAGGCAAGATGCTAGTTTGGAATGGAGAAGTTGAGACCCAGAAGAGCCCAGCCACCTGTTGCGATAATGTAATGGGCTGTTGTCTTCGTGGCACAACTTCTCCAGGTTGCCTACATTTTTTCCCCCGCTCTTGGAATCTGGTCTCCCAGAGAGTAGAGGACCTGCTGGCATGGTACGGCTGCTGCGATAGGGCCATGGGACACTTTGCTTTGTGGCCTCTGCCAGGAACCCTCTGTTTGCTGCATCTACCTTCAAGAGAGTCTCGCCAAATGGGACAGCTAACTCTGAGCCCTTGCTATGTTTGTTTGTTTGTTTTTGGTACTGGGGATCGAACTTGGGTCCTTGCGCCTGCGAGGCAGGCGCTGGAACCACTAAGCTAAATCCCCAGCCCTTGAGCTCTTGCTTTGAAAACAAACCTAAGATCAGGCCCAGGGTGTAGGTAAAGCAGACTGAGGAACGTAGGAAGCCTCAGCAGTGACATACTTAATGAAGCCCAAGGGGACCAGCAGGAACACAAGGGACTATGGGCATAGATATTTATGTGGGTATTGGAGGGGCACCTTGCCTGTGCAGGCAAAAGCCAGTGAGGGACATCTGGCTTATACTTTTTGCTCTTTAGTGCATAAAGAAGTATCTTTGCTGACATCTGTGTGTCGCTGGGTGTCCCAGGATGGGGCCCGGAGGATAGTAAGAGGGCAGAGAGCCCCAGAAACAGTGCAGCGAGGCGGGCCCTGCAAAACAAAGATGGTAGCTCTAGAGTGACATGAGATAGGAGAAAGAAGGGGAGAGCTCCATGTATATCCTAAGAGCAGCATCCACAGGCAGTGCAAGACTCTGGGCCACTCCTTGTGACCTTGCTGTGTTTATGCCGTGGTGTCTCGATTCGCAAACATTTTTGTTTGCAAACAATTTGGTCAGCAAACAGGAGCATTTGGCAAAACTTTGTTTTTGTTTGTGACTCTGCATCAGATGATACACACAACCGAGGCCATCTTTCCCACAGGAACGTGAATATGGCCATCTTTCCTAGAACTGTGGAACAAATTAAATTCGTGAACCGAGGCACCACTGTATTTTGCTCTCATTTCCCCCCTCATTTTTACACTTTTACACAAATCCTCAGAAAGCCTCATTATGTTTCATAAAGAAAAAGAAAAGTTAGGAGGCTTTGGTCCTGACGTGTCTGTGAGAGAAGAAAGTCAGGAGGGAGACAACAGACAGAGTTATTTAAGCTGGGAGCAGGCAGCCCACCCATCCTGAGGCCCAGAAGACAACAGGCTCCAGCCCCAAGTCTGGAGCACCCCGCACCCGCACTCACACACTCCTGCCCTGGCACCAGCTGAGCAGAAACTGAACAAGGTTATAGGCAAAAACCTTTATTCTAACTGTGTCCCCAGGTCCTCGGGGCCAGAAAAAAAGGGCTCGGTGCTGCAGGGACTGCAGACACCAGTGCAAAGCTGGCCGGAGGACAGACACACCATGTCTGGCTGTGGCTGGAGATGGCTCACCGGAGGGATCACTTGGTCTTCACGTCAAAATCCACATCTGAATCGACAAGGGAAGGAAGTCGAATTCCAGCAATGGTGTGAAACCCCGGCACTTGCTCTTGCTCTCGGATCTGGTCTCTGAGGTGCCGGATTTCTAGGCGTTGCATTTCAATGATTCTCCCAGTTTCTTCTTGCTCATTCAGTCTCATGGTGGCAGTGGCACTGGGCATGTCCCCGCCGGACACTGTAAGGGACAGAGCAGGACAAATGTGGCCTGTTCACTGATCTGCTGCAGCCTCTTCTCCTCTCCCCACTCTCCAAGCTCCTTTGGATGCCTATTTTGGGAAGACACTTAATCATGGGTGCAGGGAGTACAGAGGTAAGTAAATTTCTTTACAGTCTCGTAGAGAGACTGAGAAGCTGAGACACAGGAATGGCTAGAGGGAGGCTGAGCGTGACAGCAGCCCAGGCCCTCCCCTGAGTGCCTGCACCGAGATCCTCTCTAGTACAGGCTGCTTTCTCCATTCCACGCCCCTCAGGCAGGATGGCACTCATGTGCAGCCCTTGCTCCTGGAGACAGAGAGCTCTGCACCCCTCCTGTACGGCCACCCACCGGAGCTCCCTCCGGGCTTCTCTACTCCTGGCTCTGTCATTTCTGTGTCTCAGATTCTGCCATCATCCTGGGTAATATCAGCACCCATGGCCCATGCCATTCCCAGCATTAGTGACCGTCGCCTCCAGCCCATGTCAGCACCGACTCTGGGCTTCTCCTCACCACCCGGGACCCTGTGCCGTGCACACTTTTCACTCTAGTACGCCATTCTCTGACCACAACCTCTCTGCCACCTCATGCTCTTTGGCCGCATTGTGACCTCTTGTTCGTGGACAACTTCGTCCTTCTCCGTCCCCTCAGATGGACTCCTTTTCCATTCATTTCCTTTCCTGGCCAGTTAGACCCACTGTGACTTTCTTCCTCCATTTCTTTTGGAACTGCTGTGTCCTTCTTGTCTCCAAGTGTTGATAGGTTTTACACTCATAGTCATGAGCACTCCCATCCCCCACCGTGTCTGAATTTCAACCTCCATTTAACTCTCCCTCATTCTTAAAGAACAGCATTGTCACCTCTCTCCAACTCGCTGAAACTGTCTCCATCTCACTGAATGCAGTCAAATCTCAGAGGAAAAGGGGCCTCTCCTTTCCACTGCCAACCCTTCCTGTACATCTGGTGGGGTTAAAAAAAAAAAAAAAAAACACCTCACCAAAAAACAGAACAGATGGAAAAGAGTTTCAAAGAGGAAGTGATCAGCAGTGGTCAGCAGCCAGCCTTGCCATGGGCCTCTAATTGGCCTAATTAAGCCAGCATTCAAGGAGCACTTGGCTTAGACCCGCTTTCTTTGCAGGAGACAGCTGGATCCTCTCTGCCTCTGCTTTTTGCTCTTTTCTGCAGTCTCTAGCTGCTTGATCTTTTAGTGTTTCTTTTCCTAGATCTTGACCCTTCATCCTCCTCCTGCTCCTGGTAGCCATCCCATCAAGCTGTGCCATGGCCCTGGGACTCTGGGAGTTCCAGGAAATGGGTCTCTAAGTCTGTCTGCTTGGGCCTGGACTGCTCACCTCTGCCTTGTTTCTGCTTACCTGTCTACGTGCTTCCTCAGGCACTTTCTGTGTTTTAACTAAGCTCTGTGCTCTCTCCCATCAACCTTTACACACAGATACTTACCCAGTCACCATCTGACTTCCTGGGACAACCCAACCTGTGTGGGAAGCCACAATCCTAAAGGTACTCGGTGGCGTGACCCTGAAAATGTCCCAGCACTTGGATTCCTATTTTTGCTAGTGTTTACGGGGGTGCACTTGTGCCTCCTGGGAGAGTGGCTCATGGGGAACTTTGCCCGGTGGACCCAGTGTTCTGTCTTGGTTCCTGCTTAGCCTCTCATTCTGGTCTTGAGGGTATGGGTTGTGGTTTTCCTCCATTTCTTCCCTTTGCTCCTAGGGTTCTTTCCCCACTCCCTTTGACAATGACCTGGCTGCTGACATACTGTGATTCAGCCTCACAGGGGGCCCCTTTGATGGCCCTGCTTTCATGTGCTGCGGCTGTATAAACCCTCCTGCCCGCCCCCGTATGACATCAGTTCTCTCCTGCAGCCCCTACCTTGCCTCCCCTCTCAATCTCCAGTCTCTTCCTGTTCCTTGCTCTGTCCAGAGCACGTCCTGCTCTTATCAGTCTCCCTCTCTGTATTCTGCCCACAAGTTGCCTCCAATAGATTAAAGTGGATTTCTGATTTAATAACAATAACAATATTATTATGATTATTTGCAATGTGTACCAATAAGCTACAGCCAGCACCCAAATTTTGATTTTAAATGGCTGAAAGTAAGAATGTGGTTACTGATTCATTCGGACTAATGTTTAACTTTTTAGAAAAATTTTTTGGTACTTTGTATATTTTCTTTCTCTCTTTAAAAACTTTTTTTTTTTTTCCTGGGGATTTAGCTCAGTGGTGTTGCTGCCTACCCAACAAGAGCAAGGACCAGCGTTCAATCCCTGGTATAAAAAAAAAAAAAAAAAGAATAAAAAGAAAAAAAAATGCAAGGTCACCATTTCTGGCTTTCACTGTTGCATTGTGAAGTCAGGTGTTAGTTGAATTGTTAGTACTTTGTATGATACCTCTCTTCTCTTTGGCTTCTGTAAAGCTGAAAAATATGCCTTTGCTTCTCTTTTAAGTGGTGGTGAAATGAGACATCATTGGATTTTATCCTTTTTTGTTTTGTTTTGTTTTGTTTTGTTTTTTGAGACAGGGTCTCACTACGTAGTTGAGACCACCCTGGAACTCACTCTGTAGCCCAGGTTGGTCTTGAACGAACAGTGATCTTCCTGCCTCAGCCTCCTGAGTGCTGGGATTGCAGGTATCCACCATCACACCCACCCACCCACCCCCGATCTTTTTAAAATTTAAGATTTATTTTTATTAGTGAATGTTTGCATAATGATTACATTCATTGTGGGAGCTGGTAGGTGTTCACAGCAAATCTTGATTCTTTTTTAACTTTCCCTTCTCCTTCCCTCCTTCCCATATTTTTAGTCTGTTTATTCATCAGTGGATACTTGGGTCACTTTCATCTTTTATCACTTGTAAAAAATGCTACCATGAACACGTTATACACATGTATCTAGAGTCCCCAACTTTCAACTCTTTTGGTATATTTCTAATATTCTTAGAAATTGAACTGCTATAGCATATAGTCATCCTGTTACTATTTTTTTGTGGCAGTGGGGATTGAACCCAGGCACCTCACACTGAACTGTATCCCCAGAGTTTTACATTTATTTATTTAAAATTTGAGACAAGGTCTCACTAAGTGGCTAAGTTACCCAGGCTGGGCTTGAATTTATGACAGTGGTGTACCTAGTGGGGTTAGAGGAGACTAGTAAATTAAAGATCCACCCTGAGCAGCACAAACTCTAGCTACACCACTGACTTATGATCTTTCTGCTTTAGTCTCCCACAGTGCTAGGACAAATAAGCTGCCTCTGTGCTCTGTTATTGTTCTCAGACGCATGCAAGCTTTACATTTTGATGCAGTACAATTTATTTGTTTTCCTGTTGTTGCCTGTTGCTTTGGGTGACATGAAAGAAATAACTGCCAAATCCAATGTCATGAAGCTTTACTTCTATGCTTTAAGATTTGTATCATTTGAACTCTTATTTAAATGCAATCTTGCCATGTTGCCCTCAGATTTCTGGACTAAAGCAATTCTCCTGTCTTAGCCCCCCAGATATCTAGGTCTATAGGCATACACCATTATACCTTGGATGTTTAGATCTTGGATCCGTTTTGAGTTTTTTTTGTATATGTTGTAAGTTAAGCATTTACTTACATTCTTTTGAATGCAGATATCCAATTTCTCCTTGCTACTTGTTGAAAAGACTGTCCTTATCCCATAGAATAGTCTTGACATCCTTGTTGAGAATGACTTGACCATATATATGAGGGTTTAATTTCTGGACTCTCAAATCTATTGTATTAGTCTATATGTCTATTTTTTCTTAATGACAGTACCACACTGTTTTGATTACTATAGCTTTGTAGTAAATCTTGAAGTCAGGCATATAGGATCTTTAATTTTGTTCTTTTTTAAAAGTTTGTTTTGAATATTCAGGGTCTCTTGAGAGTGCACGTGAATTTTAAGATGAAATTTTCCACTTCTGCAAAGAAGTCATTGAGATTTTGATAAGGATTGCATTGAGTCTGCAGATCACTTGGGTAGTACGGCTCCTCCTTCTCCTTCTTCTCTTTTTCCTTTCCCCTCTCTTCTTCTTCCTCTATTTCCTCTTCTTCCCCTTTCTCCTCTTCTTCCTTCTTGTACTGAGGATTTAACCCAGAGTCTTTGCATGGAGAAAAGAATTTTCTTGCTAAGTTGCCCAGGCTGGGGTTGAACTTGATCCTTCTGCCTCAGCTGAGATTCCAGGTGTGTGCCATTATGACTGGATTTGTCATTTTAACATGTTAAGTTGGCCAGGGATTTATTTCAGTGATTCTGCCGCCTGCCTCACAAGCACAAGGACCTGAGTTCAATCCCTGGTACAAAAAAAAAAGAGGTCTCCTTAACATGTTAAGTCTTCCAATCTATGAATATAAAAACGTTTCCATTTATTGGTGTCTAATTTCTTTCAACAATGATTTTTAGTTTTAAGTCTGTAAGTTTATTTCTAAGTATTTTATTCTGTTGATTTTTTCTCCTTTTGAGAGTGTTCATTATTTGTGCATAAAAATGAATTTGTTGGTTTTGTATTCTATCATTGGGAATGTTGCTGTTTCGAGATTGGCTTTCACTTTGTAGTTCTGGCTGGCTTTGAAATGACTGTGTAACCCAGGTTGCTCTCAAACTCTTGGCAATTCTCCTACTTCAACCTCCAAGTGCTGACATTACAGGTGTGTGCCACCACACCTGGCTTTATAACTGGGATTTTTTTGTATGAAATTTCCCCTTACTTCCTTTGGAAGTTTGGAGGATTTTTTTTCTTTGTATTCTGGTGTTTTGAGATTTCATGATGATGGACCTGAAAAGGCTCTACTTTTAATTACCATATTAGATGCTAGATGAATCTAACATCTTCTTAAACAAAATTTCTCTTCTGCTTTTACCCCTGCCTTGATCTCTACTTCCAGAGCAGTCACTCTTGATAATCCTTGAGACTTGCGGTACGCATTAGATTTTTTCTGGGTTCTCATGTCTGGTTTAGAATTTAGGTTTTTTAGCTCTATAAAGTTGTTTACTATTCATCCATTTATTTTCCAGCTTTCAAAATTTTATGTCTTGTTTTTTGTTCTCATGATTTACTTATGCCATTTCAGTTGGTTTGCAATCAGCTGTCTTTAATCAGCAGTTCTTTTTCTTTTTAATGCATGTTTGTAGTACATAACATCTACACTCCTTGTGAGGAGTTGGCACATGTACATAACACACCTTAATTCCTTTTTTCATCCCCTTTCCCTTCCATGCCTCCCACTTCCACCCCTCTCTTTATCCTCTTCCTTTTTGGGGGTACATGCTTACAGTACACAGTGTTGGTACATGTGCATAAGACATCTTAACTTCCTCTAAAAAATCCTTAATCCCACCTCCTCTCTCCCCCTCCATCTCTTGATCCATTTCCCCTTTGAGAAAGATTTTTCTACTTCCTATTATCTGTTTTTTATTTTCCTCTTTATTTGTATTTCTCATATAAGAGAAACCATGCAATATTTAAGCTTCTGTGTCTGATTTATTTTGCTTAATGTTATGGTCTCAAGGTGCATCAATTTTCTTATGAATGACTCAAGTTTATCTTTCTTTATGGCAGAGTAGTAGTACTCCATTGTGTACAAATATTGTATTTTCTTTACCCATTCATCTGCTGGTGGACATTTAGGCTGCTTCCAAGATTTAGTAATTATGTTATTAATTGTGCTGCTATAAACATGGATATGCATGTATCACTATAATATGTTGTCTTTAACACTTTTTTTTGGTACCAGGGATCGAACTCGGGATCTTGCACTTGCAAAGCAGGTGGTGGAACCACTGAGCTAAATCCCCGGTCCTATCTTTAACTCTTTTGGGGAGATACCTAGAAGGTGAATAGCTGGGTCAAATGGAATTTCTAATTTTAGCTTTTTGAGGAATCCCCACACTGATTTCCATAGTGGTTGTATAGTTTATAATTCCACTAACAGTATAGAAAGGGTTCCTCTTCCTCCACAACCTCTCTAGGATTTGTTATTAGTTTTTTCTAATGATAATGGTTTTAGTAAGTAAAACAAGCAGGCATATCTATTAGAGTAGATCTGTTACTTAATTGTCATGTGTATGAAAAATTAGTATAAACTCTGCTAAAATAAATAGTGGTTTGGGGATGACAACGTCTCTTTTTCAGACAGGGAATTCGTAAAAACACCAACTAAACTGGCCAATTCCTGAAACAATTTGAGGATATATATTTTGAGCTGACTGGTCTTGGTGGATCTATATTCAAAATCAGAGGTTAGATTGAGATTTTCCATGACCGAAGCAGACAATATTTGTCTTCAGTTGTTAGAAGTGAATGTTCCTTGAGCAAACCATATCATACAAAAGATATTGTGTTTGGTTTGCTTTAAAATAACCCATGGTGGGCATAGGAGGAAGTAACATTTTGTGTGTGTGTTTATGTGTGTGTGTGTGTGTGTGTGTGTGTGTGTATGTGTGTGTATTACTGATGAAACAAGAGTGGCAAGAGTTGGAAAATGAAGATTGGAAATAGATTTGTAGGATTTCATTAGACTTTTTTCTTGATTTTTGTTTATACCTGGAAAGTTTTGTAAGAGTAATATTAAGAACCTGGCTATACCACACAGCAGCCTAAGCAGGTCCCAGAGGAGCATTTGTTAGAATATTTAAAACATTTTAAAGAGAAAATTTTCCACTGTTTACAGGCGTAATGTTGTATTATCTGCAAGAGAAGAAGGTTTCAGCTTTGCACAGTCAAGAATCTCAGTTTCGTAACATGTCCTGCGGCCTCGCGTCAGTGCTATCTACCTAATACTGTCACTTGGGTTCTATTTGGAGCATTTGTTTCGGTCTCAACTTTAACCCTGGTCAACATAAGACTTGAAATGACAAAATCATACACACACACGCACACACACACACACACACACACAGATACAGAGTTATGTATCACCTAACATCAGGGGTACATATGTTCTGACAAGTGTGTCCTTAGTTGGTTTTATCATGAAGTGTAACTGCACAAACGGAAATGAGGACAATGTCCCTGGGTGATACAATCTTAGGGACCACTGTTGTACATGCAGTCCATTGTTGACTGCAATGCTGCTATTCAGCACATATCTGTATATATACACAGATATATAAACATGTATATACTATCATATTTCTTATAAATAAAACATTTTATATGTTCAATTTTATAATAGTTTAAGACTCACAATAAGATGCAAAAATAGTAAGAGAGTTCCTGTGTACCTCCCAGCCACCTTTCCCCAGTGATAAAAACCAAAGTACATGAGACAACTGACATTGGAAAGACCTAATCCACAGCTGTGGGATGTTTCAGTTCATCCAGCTCTCTAAGATTTATTCTTGAATGTAAACCCATAGAAAACAAAGTTCTTGATCCATGCTGGCTTAAATCTTAGAAATGCTTTATATTTTCCTTTTTTATTGATTGCCCATTAATAACTGTTTAATGCCTAAAGAGTGTAGTTAGCAACTATCCACCATTACTCAACATTCCTTTCATAAAGATCCATGTGATAAGTTTTGCACAGAATTTAGTGCCAGGAAAATGTCTGATTCTCCAGGAAACAACTTCCTTTTACCATACAATGAGAACTATGCAAGCTATCATATTTCTTCATTTCCCTTTCTGTCTTGATTATCAGAGGTACTTGAGGACATAACTGCAGTAACTGAGCTCGTTGAATATTTCTTATGTAATTCTTTCACCTCTCCTTGTAAATAGTTTCTCATCTTTTTGTCTTTAATTGTAAACCTCCACAATCCTTTATCCACAATTCTAAAATGCAAAAAGATTTAAAAATAGAACACTTTTAAAAATGTATGAAGCTTCGTGTGAATATTCATCCATCACTACAGAATACTAAAGTGTGTGTTTCCAGGGCATTGCCCCAGACCCATCTGGGGATATTACATAATACATAGCATGCTCTTTCTAAAATCGGAAAGAGTCTGAATTCTGAGTTGTAGCTAACCTTGAGGAATTCAGCCAGGGGCTGTAGACCTGAGAGTAGATGTGGAGAGGCCCTCAGAGATCCTTTGGACTGCAGGTGGCATGTCCAAAGGCATGAAGAGGTTCTCAGAAGGCCATGGGTGGATGTGACCTGATATAGGATGAAGCCAAAGGGAGACTGGTTATGGCTGCCATTAGTCCCTTGCCTGCAATGCCCATTTCCCTTGCAGTGACATTACCTGTCTCTGAAACTTCTTGCGGTTGGGTTTTCTTAGACAGTTTGAGAGCTGCTTCAAGGTCATAGACTTGAGAGCGAGTGAACTTCAGCTCCCTGCGGAGCTCATTAATTTCCTTGATCAGAGTGACATTTTCCTTCAGAAAAGAAGGAAAGAGCGTGAGTATGGTTGAATGAATGGTGGGCATAGAGCATGCCCTCCTGGGTTTGAGGGGTGAGAATGGGCAGGGCGGGTTTGGATCCAGTTTAACTTTCTTCTATGGGGGCATAATATTTTTTGAAGATGAGGTATAGCTATGTTGTCCGGGCTTCCCTTGAATTCTTAAACTTCCTGCCTTAGCCTCCAAAGTAGAAGGGATTATGGGCATGTGCCACAGCACCAGAAGGGCACGAGTCTTTATCCCGCTCATTGCTCACCCTCTCAAGGAACCAGTGAACTTCACTTACTTTCAGGTGGACTCAGCACCATCTCCATCCATCCTAGCTCTTTCAAGTCAATAACAACGCTTTCCTAAGTGCTTTTCATATGACTTTAATGTATTTAAACACTGTGATAACCCTATGGCTAGATTCTATTACAATCACAGGGACTGACTAGAACATATCAACATATTAAACATTTTGCCTCATTTCATCCTCACAACAACCTTCTGAGGTGGGTTACTATCAGACAGATGCATTTTGCATTTGGAAGTGAGGCAGTGCATATATACTAGAGAGTGCCCTATTTCTCTTTGACTACTGACTTCCAGACTGTACTTTCTCACCTCCCATTTATACTACCTCCATTTCAGCACCTCATATTGTGGTAGCCAAAGACACAATCAAAAGTACAAATTGGCATCATTGCCTTTTCTCTTTTACTTTCCTTTTTAGTTTTATTTTAGGGTTCCCTATTTTTAATGTTCATACAGAGATTTCTTTAACTGAAATACCGAATAGTTTCTCTGGTGTGAAAAACTATAATAGTACACAGGATCCTAATGAGATAATTAATAATGTGAAATAGGAAGTAAAGGCCTAAAGGTGTAGGGAAAGTGGAAAGGGTAGGGGAAAGGTAATAAGGAAGAGGAAAAAAAATATGAGAAACTGAAAAAATGGAAATAAAGTGTTTATAAATGAGGAGGGGGTGAAGGGAGGGCAGGGACAAGGGGAAAAAATGAGAATCAAGACCTATTATGTGAAGGTACAGAATCCCAATGATGAATGTAATTGTAATGTATACCTAGATTGTACCAATAAACTCAATAAAAAGGAAAAAAAAAAAGTACAAGTTGGGCCCCCTAAAAATAGTTTTCCAGGGTGTCCTGTGTTCTGAAGAGTACACAGATCGCAGTGAGGCCAACTGCATTTTCTTTGGGTAGCTTTGTGAAGAAAAATATGAACACAACAGGCTCGCTGAACCTTCTGTTTGTGATTTCTCCTTTGTCAACGTGGCCTTCAAAAATCCTCCAACCCTCTGAACTCCCACTCAGCCAGTCAGCAGCAGGAAAAATCTGACCTGAGGTCCATCAGCTGCTGAGACTGGAAATGTGAGAGACTGGATGAGGGGTGCCAAGGTTCATTTATACAGCGATTTCTAGGTTGAGCTGAGCAGGACTGCCTTAGGCCTTTGGAAAGGCCTGATGTCCCTGTTAGATCTTTCAGACACTCACGTAGCGAAGAGAAGACATGGAAATGTCGGCAGCACCCCCTACTGGCTGGCACTTTCAGAATAGGGGACGGCCTCACAGCGAGGAAAAATCAGGCAACAGATGAATTTTGTGAACTTGGAAGCTTTGCATCAGTGGTGTCTTTCTGGAACCCACAGTAAGTGGGATAGCCATCTGTCCAACTGCACGAATGAGTTCCATCCTGGAATCCTCCTCCACTCTTTCTTCCACCTTTCTCCCATGTCTAACCTGGCATTTCTGCCATTCCACTCTTGAAATACCTTTTGACATCACAGTGTTTCTCTTTCCAAGAGGTTCTCATTTACCCTTCACATGACAGCCATCTCCTCATCAGCTTCTCTGCCACCTGTCTCTCTCTCCACAGTCTGTCCATTCTGCCCACTGAGTTTATCTTTATGAGACAAAGATAAATATGCCTGCCTACTCGAGAAGCCTTGGGAAATGTCTGTGCTCATGATGAACTTTGTTTCCTGGGATGATGTGGAAATCCCTTTCCAGTATGACCCTAGGATACCTACCCTTCTATGGGCTCTTTCCTTCTGTCCCAGATGCTCTTGAACAAAATAAGGTCTGTGGATTCACGGGTCTGCAGTCATCCCCTTCCAAAACCCAAAAACCTCTTCTCTGCTTTTTCTCAGCTGTTCCCTCTGCCTGGGAGGCTGTTCTCCCAGCTGGTCCTTAAGCACCACCCTGAGCTCAACTGCCACTTCCTCTCAGAAACCTTGCTTGAGTCTTCAAGGCACAGTTGATCTTTGCTTCCACCATGAACTCACAGCACTGGATACACTGCGCGGACACTGTATGGTCCAAGTTCCCTAGGAGGAGCTCTCTGAGGGGGGAAACTCTCCCATTCTTTTTGGGGGGGTGGTACTGGGGATTGAACTCAGGACCTTGAGCTTGCGAGGCAGTCGGCAGAATCACTGAGCTAAATCCCCAGCTCTCCCATTCATTTTGGATCTTCCATGGCTGACACATGCTTTCTGTGAAAGAAGCACTAAAAAAATGTGAACTGAATGAATGGAACGTGCCCTAGATGTTTGTATATCACAGCAACTCTGATTTCCATATCTGCCAGTATGCTGGATATACAAATGAGATAGTGGCCTCATTTTTTTATTGGATTTAATGAGTAGCTCTCAGATGCCATGCCCACCCCAGCCTTCCTCAGTCTTTGAGATTGAAGTGCCAGGGCTCTGGTAGCTGCAGACACAATCCCAGCCAGGTCCCACCTAACCCATTCCCAGGCAGCAGGAGCCCCTGGCTACTATCAGAGGGGATAGCATCAGTTGTCCTGTCCTCTTTGTCACCCTCAAGCCAGCCCCCCTCCCTGGGGTGCTTATGACAGGCTTCTAGGCTCTCCCACTGGAATTCAGCTTTGGTTCTTAAATATGTTTTTTGCTGGGCAGAAGGGAAGGGAAATGGCATTTTTTAATGCAGACTGTGTACCAGGCCAGTACCTAGGGGTTTATCTCATTCAGTTCTCACAGTAACTGCTGAGGTTAATGTTTTCTTCCCTCTTTTACAGGTAAGGAGGTAGCACCCAGAGAAGCCGAGGAATTTACCCTCAGCTTCCTGGTCAAATTGTATCAAAAGCAGCATAACATGGATCTTCACAGAAGCAGTGCCACTCTTTCACACTATTCCAAGCCTAGGTTTGCCTGTGAGGCCCTGCCATTTGGCCTGGCCCTGACCCAGGCTTTCTTGTTCAATTTTAAAAGAAGGAAAACATTTTTAGCACTAAATTTTACATGGAGCCCCATAATGATCAGCAAGGAACCTCTCTGGTTGAGAGCCCTGCCCTGGGCCCTCTTGCTCTCTGCAGTTGTCTAAGCCTCTTTTCTGGGTGTACAGGACTGCACGGTGCAGAGGTTTAGGATGCCACTGAGAGAACCCCTTTTGAGGGATTGCCCTTGTAGCTGGCTCTCTCTGCTGACCACAGATGGGGACAGGGCTAGGCAGGAGTCCTGCGTGGGTCTCTGTTCCCCACCCCTTTCCTGGCCCAGCAACCTCTCTACAACTGGGGGAGGAAGAAGAAGGGACTGATGCCTGCCCCAGCCGCTCATGTGGATGCTTGTACCTGCTCACCAGCCTGCACCTTCACTTTTCCTTCCCCTCCTAGGACTCACATTTGCTTTGGACACCTGCTTGGCTTGGAGGACCCCCTCATGTGTTGGTGGCAGGGCGCCAATAAGAGCTCAGCCATGTCACCATTTGACAACTGCTCCTCTGTCCCATTGCCCAGCTTGCTGCATGCCAGAGAGGCTTCTCCATGCTCCAGGACCTTGCAGCCCTAAACCATGGCTCTTTGTTGGTGCCAGGGTCCTACCCACCGGATCCACTCTTCTTTCTGGACCTCTGACTGCTTGTGTAGCCCAGAGTAGGGCAATTCTGAGGGAGGAGGTTGAGGCCGATTGTAAGATAGCATGAGAGCAGCTATGGATTCCAGTGTGCTCTACACTGTGGAGAGCTGTGCCTGGAATGCCAACCTAGGATCTGATTTCAACCCAAGTACAACCTGTCCCAATTCTAACATTTTAATCAGGGCATTAAAGAAATACAAATATAAGGAGGCACATGCTTTATAAATGTAATTCTGATGTTCTCTTCTGATATTAATTCACATCAATTATCGCAGATGATACTGACACCCAAGCAGAAATCTGGCAGGAGCATCCCAACTGGCAGTGCTGATAAGGTGCTTAAATGGGGGTGGTGGTAATGGGGCCAGGCTCTCTACACAGCCCTGCCTGCGTAGGATCCTGGGAGTTGCATGTGGAAAGCTCATTAAATCAGAGCTGGGAGTGGGGAGAGGTGGGGGTAGGGGGTGACTCAGGAAGGTGTGGTTTTCTATGGACCAAGAGATAGGGGTAGGGACCTGAGGCACCAGAAAAGTGAGATGAGGCAGGTGCAGACAGGCATGGCCCAGCAGGGAGGGATTGAATAAAAAGGAGCAAAACAAAGTAAGGTGAGAAGACTAAAGGACAGCTGAGATCACCCGGATGCAGGTCCTAGGGGACTGGGGGTCACTGAGAGGAGAGAGGACACAGGCTTACTTTAGATAGAGATGGGATGGGAAACAGAGCAGAGGTGCCTGAGGTTAGGGGACATGGGTGGGCATGGAGATGCCTAGAAAGACCACAGTGGGCTCTCGGTCGTGGTCACAGCCAGCATGGGTTCTGGGAGGTCAGAGGAGAGGGGCCCAAAGAAAGTCATAGGGAAAGCCAGTGGGGCCCATGGATATTGGGGAACCCCAAGGCTGGAAGTCTCAGAGGGCTCCTCAACCACTCTCCCATCTCTGACAGCTCAGCCTCCCAGAGAGAGGGGCACATATGTCAGTACCTGCATGATGCGAACATAGTCCATACGATGCAGCTCACCCTCCTTAATAACCTTCTTCTTAAGAGTGGCCAGGTTCCTCTCCAGATGTTCCCGCTGGCGGGCATACTCCTGCTGCAGGTCTGTGTTCAGCCCTGCAATCTCCACCTGAGAAGTGCAGGGGATTTTCAGTGTGTGTGTCTGGGGGGCGGGGCATGGAACACACAGGCAGCACAGGACAGCGCAGGCTGGGGTGGCAGGGGAGGCTGCTCACCATGTCTGCCCGCTGCACGTATTTCTCAAAGAGACTTCGGACCTTCTCCTTCAGTAGGTGGGGTTCCTGGATATAGGCCACACAGTTGTGAAGGTCTGTCTTAAACCGTTTGACCAGAGCTTCCAAATCCCGCTCCTGCAATTGGATATTTACTTCTGTGAAGAAGGCTACTGGCACAGAAAGGGAAAAGAGGTGTCTCATCTGGGACTTACAACTGACCACCATAGGCATGGAAACGTAGGTGGGCACAGATCGGAGAGGATGGCACTGAAACTTTTGTGCACCTGCTGGGGCTGGGCAACTGGCCTCATGGCCTCAATAGCCATGTGGCTCAGTGCTTCTTTTCTTCCCTCCCTCCCTTCTTCCTCTGCAGTACTAAGGATTGAACCCAGAATCTTCACGCTGAGCTATACCCCAAGCTCTTTATTGTTTTTTCTTTTAAGACAGGGTCTCTCCAAGTTGCCCAGTTGGGTTCCAACTTGCAGTCTTCCTGCCTTAGTTTCTAAAATGTTGGGATTACAGGTTTGTGCTGTCATTCCTGGCTCCAGTACTTTTGTAAGAGAAAACACACAGACATATAGAGCTTACTTAATTGGCTCTGGAATCTTTTCAGAGCTATAAGCTTTAAAAGATAAGATAAAAGGAAGCATAAGCAGCCACCCATATTCCTTTACAGTCAAGATAGATGATATGATTTCTCTTCTGCAGATCCCAGCCAAGGGTTTTCATGTTTCCTTCAGGAGCGCACCCAGATAGCCAGAACTACTGCTGTGAACAGGTGGGGAGAAAACCCCACAGAATCAGGCAGACTAGTAAGACTTGCTTCCTTTCCTCAATCATGATTTCTTTGAATCCTGTCTTTTGCTACTGTAGTTTACAAAGAGTCTCTCTTATCTCCCCAATCCCATGCCTTTTTTCCACAATTCCATAATTTCCCACTGTGCATTACACTATGCACACGCTATAAAACGCTTATTAGCCTCTCCAACTTGTGAGGGACAGGATCTGAATCAGTTTATATCAGTGCTAAAGCTTATAGTATTATCCCATGCAGGAATAAATGATGTGGATAATGGAAAAATTCAGTCTGACTCAGCAAACATTATAGGGGGGCCTGCAACAGGGAAAGGGTACAACCATAGCACGGCCTGGGAGCAGAAGACCTGGTTTCCTGAATTGACACTAGCTATGGGTGTTGGGTGAAGTTTAACCTCCTACTTTTTGTGGCCTTTCTTTATTTATATCATGAGATCAGTATCAGAGGTTCTCCTAGCCTCAGCAATCTACTGACTACATATGACCTGTCTGGGCAGGTTCCTTCCTAGGCCAGACAAGCCAAAGGCTAAGAATGTTTCTGTGAAACCAGCTTACCACCCTGCTCACTGTACCCAAGTCTCTTTTTACTCTCAGATGGACTCAGTCATGTACCCCTGCATGGGCCTGAAATCAGGCAGGGCTGTGGGAAAGAAAAGTATGTGAGTTAAAAAGGGAAGTGTATCTTAGCAATGGGCTGGCTGTCTCTAAGAAGCCAGCTGTCCATTGCAGAAAAGTGCCAGATCCTGAGTCCAAGAGCTGCCAGACTCTGAAAATCCTCACACCTTCTGTCTCTCTTTGCGCATCTCCTGATCCGTGGCTCTCAGTTTCTGCCACAGCTCCGTGATGTTCAGCTCCAGTTGCGTGTTCTGTTTATGGAAACGCTCCAGCTCAGCTTCCATCTACAGAGACCAGGGAAAAAGAGTGGAGAACAAGAAAGCAAAAGAAGGGAACTTGTATTTAAGAATGGGAATCTTTTGGCGGGAATGGCCCCTGACACTAGGGCGTTCTTCTCTGGTTCTCAGGTATCTCCTCCAGAATAAAGCCTTTCTTATTACTTCTTGCCAGTCCGACAGCCCCCCACTTCCTTGACTGATGTCAACACAGGGCCACACATTTCTATGGCCAAGTTTGGAGGCTTCCATCTTTGTCACCTTCCCTTTCCTGAACCGTGCTGATTCTTGTATTCCAACGTGGTAACTCTTAAGTACTGAAATCTCAACTAACATGAGGCAGGGTTCTCTGGAGAAGCACCTTTCTGACTTGCTTCATGAGGCTGGATGAGTGAGACTTGACCCTTGGGAGGCAGTCATTCTAAAGAATAAATTAGGGGTAGAGTCTAAAGCAGAGTTGGAGGGGAGCGGCATGGCATGGAGCCATCCCCAATCTAGGGCCTAAAACAGGAAAGAGGTGTTGAGAAGGACCTCTGCTTCATTATTCGGTTGAATCAAGAGACTACCGATGAGCTTCTGAAAGATTTTCAATTCATCACTGCGTTTCTATTAACCAAGGATGTGTGACTATTAACTGGAACTTCTAACCAGGATGAAGCTGCATGCGAGCTTTCAGTAGAACTAATTCCTGCCCAGAGCAAAGGGCAATGTTTTATTTGCACACCAACTCCGGTGGACACTCGTGTCCCTGTTAACAGGGAGGTGGGGATGGAATAGTTCTGTGGTGGGGGGAGGGGGCTGGAAGGAGTAGCCTCAAGGCTCTTGTTTTTTGTGGGGTAGCAGAGGCTCTACGGAGCCACATTCTTGTTCTGAACACAAGAAAGCAGCTTTGAGAAGATTGTTTTCTTCATTATTAGAGGCACTTTATGAGGCCACCATAGCTCTGACACAATGGCATAAACACTATGTTCAGTAAATGTTTCTGAGTGAATGAGTGAACGAATAAAGTATGCAGGGCAAAGAGAGCGACGGTGAGGGATGTGGGCAAGGCTGGAAACACCTGCCTCTGAGAGTAGTGGTCAGGTAAACAGGCAGTGCTGGCAGAGCTACGCAGAGCCACCCTATAGAGAATGCACAGCAAGGCGAACACAGTACAGCTAAAGAGTGTGCTCATGAGAAAGGGCAGCTGTCATAGGGTTAGGGGTACAGCACTGATTAAGCAGTGGCTTCTGTCTTCAACAAGCGTCAAGTCTAGCGGGATAAAAGAAGTGAACCAGACACTAAGGTGGGAGGGGATAAATACTGTGTATTCAAGGTAGAAAGTGTCCTGAGCGTGTGTAGAGGCGGTGAGCAGCGAGCCCCCACAAAAGGGACACAGAGGTAGGGTTTTGTCGGAAGAGCAAGAACTGGAGGATGAAAGGGGAAGAGCGCCTGCAGGTAGAGAACAGCCTCGCACAGAGGACCAGAGGTGTGAGCGGCCTGGTGCATCTCTGAAGGCTGCCAGGGTTCAGGTGGCTGCAGGAGCTCTGCAGGATGGGAAGGGGGAAGGGCTGGAGCTCAGCCTCCCTGGGTGACACAGCTGGGTGACGCAGGGCAGAGACTCGAAAGGTGGGTAGGCTGGCTTTCATGGTGAATGCTCAGGGAGCCGCTGGAAGTTTTGTTTTGTTTTTTATTTACCGGAAGGGCAGGAGCAGACTGTCATCTTAGAGGGCCTGATACAGAGGCTTTACTAGAAAGAACAAGACTGGAGACAGGCAGACCAACTAAGAGGCTACTACGGGGGCCCAGAGAGATGAATACCCTAGACCAGGGATCTGGCAGCGGGAAGAGAGAAAGGGGCTTTTCCAGCTCGCAGGGCTCCGGAAGGTCATGTCTGAGTGCTGACAACTAACTGCGCTTCTTTCTCTACTGTTTATCTCTGCTTCCCCCTCCCCTTGCAAAGTCTCAAGTTACTGAGAATAAAAATTATTTGTTTTATACAGAAATTGTGAAAAATGTGAAATTTTTGTATTTGTACCACTAGAAGACTAGCTTAGTAGGTGGAAGGTGTATCCCTTTCCCAGCATGGAATTCCATGTACTTTTCTGTTTTTGGGGGGGTACCAGGGATCCAACTTAGGTCTTTGCGCTTGCAAGGCAGGCGACAGAACCGCTGAGCTAAATCCCTGGCCCCCATGTACTTTTCCATAAGTTATCCTTTACGCTTCTCAGGGATTCTCATTACCAGAGGTACTTGGTAATGTCTGGAGACATTTTTCTTTGTAATACCCTGGGCAGCGGGTGCCAATGGCACGCAGCGGGTAGAAACCAGGGATGCCGCTCAATAACCTGCAAAGCACAGGACGGTTCCTCCACAGCAGAGAATGTTCTACCTCCACATGCTAATAGTGTTGCTGTCCAGCAGCTCTGCGCTCAATGACTAAATGAGCGAGCGTGAAATCAACAAGGATCTAGAAACCTCTATCCTAGGACGGAAGGGGGGACTTGGCGGTGACAGAGAAGCTTGAACGGAGTTACCTGAATCAAGGAAGAGTATGTGTCCATTTACAGAGATCCCAGCTCTTCCCTGAGCCAAGAGCTTGAGGCTTCCGTCCTGTAGGAACAGGAACTGCAAGGGCCCGGAGCACAAAGCTCCAAGGCCAGAGGCTCCCGGAAGGAACGAGGCCCATAAGGGGAGGCTAGCAGGTGATCACCTGCACCAAGGAAATGCGATGTGTACGGAGGGCAGGGGACAAGAGGGAACACTTATACCTCACTGGACTCTCAAAAACCCCTGTCTAACTGATCTTGCTTCTAATCTCTTCCCTCTTTACCTTCACCCTGTTTGTTTCCCAGAACACATTCTAAATTGTGCCACTCTCCAGCTAAAGAGCTTTAGATGACTTCTCATTCCTTATTCCTTATCAGATGAAGTCCAAACACTGCGCCTTATCAAGGGCCCCCACAGCACTTGCAGTCTGAGAAACGTAGAGCTGGAGGCAGAGTGTTTGACAGGAGAGAGCCTGTTGGCTGAATACACGCTGCCCCCTGGTGGCAGAACGCCCCATATCTGTGTCTTCCTTTTGAACACAGACCTGCACGCTAAGGTGTGGGCAGGGCAAAATCCACCTCAAGGCCCCACAGCAAATTAAATCCTGCAGCACTGTGCTTTTGGACAACTGAACCTTCAGTCGGGCCAGGGTCTTCCAGGGTATCCTATGTGGAGGGCACACACCCCGGGGATAGAGAAGAGCTGTAAGAAGAGTTTTCTGTCATTCTTTCCAGGCCAGCCAGGGACAGTGCAGGAGGAGAAAGGGCCCAAGAGGTCAGGGTGTCGTAGATGGCTCTCACCTCCTGAATCTGTTCCTTCATCACCTTGATCTCAGTCTCTCGTGGCTCTATTTGCTTCTTCAGCTCCTTTATTTTGTAGTCGAGCACAAACTTGAATTTCTCTAGTTCTTGATTTTTCTTTTTCAGATCATAAATTCTTTTTTCCTGGGGGTGAAATGAAACAGAAGTGTGAGACATCACAAGGCCCTGGTACACAGAATCCCCTTAGGGCAAATAACATAAATTCTGTGACTCTCCTTATTGAGGAGGCTACAGACTTCTCACTGGGGGTACAAAGGCCAACTCTCCCCATCAGGATGTAGTTCTAACTCCTTTGCTTCTGTGCCAGGAACTTTATTCATTCATTACCTTGCTCATTTACATGTAGGTTGTAGATGACTACATCTCCCATCCTACATTGCTGCTCTTTTCCAATATGGCCCTGACGCTTCTCTTAGGAGATGGAATCTAATTCCCTTCCTTTGCTTCTGTCTGGATTTATAACTTGTTTGTAACCCAAAGAATGTCACCGAAGGGCTGCTAGGTCAGAAATCTAAGCAGCTTCCACCTGGCTCTCTTGGGATAGCTATTCTGGGGGAAGCCAACTGCCATGTAAGAAATTTGACGGCACTGCTGGAGAGCAGAGGCTCTGGTTGAAAGACCCACCCGCTACCTCCCTTCCGAAGTGCCAGGCATGTGAGAGAAGAAGCTACCTTGGATGCTGATCTTCCAGATTTCAGCTGTTTGAGTCACCCTTGATATTCCTGACTGAGATCCCAGACATCAGGGGCAGAGCTGCCATCCTGTTGTGCCCTGTCCAAGTTCTAGACCCACAGTCAGGTGTTCAGAGGTGGAGCTTTTGGAAAGTGACTGAACCACGGGGGCTCTATTCTCATCAGTGGATGAATCCATTGATGAGTTTATAGCTGAATGTGCTTTAGGAGGGGAAGCCCAGTTGGAGGAGGCGGCACACTGGTGGCATGCTTTTGGAGAATATATCTTGCTCTGGTTCTTTCCCCTTTCTCTGCTTCCTGGCTGCTATGAGCTGAGCAGATTTCTTCTGCCAGGCCCTCTTCCATGCCATGTCTGTCTTGGAGACAGCTGACCATAGACTGAGCCCTCTGAAAGTGAGCCAAAATAAATCTTTTCTCCTTTAAATTGTGTCTGTCAGGTACTTTGTCCCAGCAATTAAAAAGTGACTAATACAGTTGCTGCTTTTCATTATTAAATTTTCAGGTCATTCAGTGCACAGTAATACTAATTGCAACATGGGTCTAGCCATTCATCAAACTTTTACTGAATGAAGGTCTTTTGCTAAGTACTGGAATTCCAAATATAAGTATGTCAGAGTCCCTGACCTTAAGGATAAATCACTACCCATGAAGTTGATGTATAAACAAACATAACCCTAAAATGTGACAAGTGTCGCACAAGAGGGAGGCACAGAAGGCATGGTATGTATTTAGGGTGCTAAGAATAACCCATTTGAGTGTCTAGTGGTAATTCACAGGGCAAGTGAGAAGTGAGGCTGGGGAGATGGTTGGGGGAAGCAAGGGTCTTGCGTGTTGTGATAAAGAGTTCAGAATTTATCCTGTAGGCCAGGGTTGGCAAACTTAGCCCGGAGGCCAAATTTGGCCTGTTTTATAAAATTTTATTGGAACATAGCCAAATTCATTCATTTATATTTTGTTTGTGGGTGGTTTCACATATGGTATCCACAGTTGATTAGTTGAGACAGAGACCATATGGCCTGCAAATCCTAAAATATTTACCATCTAGTCTTTTGTAGAAAATACTTGCTGACTCCCACTGTAGGCCATGAGGAGCTACTAAAGGATTTTCAGTGGGAGACTGACATAATTATACTTGCATTCTGGCAGCTATGGTGGTGGGGACCAGTGGTGTGAAAAGGGAAGGCCTGGCTAGGAGACGGTTGCAATTTTCTAGGTCAGGAGGCCTTGGTCTCTTTCTTGCCAATAGTCTCCTCCTTGAGAATCTGAAGAAAGCTTTGAGTTTCCCCCCAGAAACTCTAGATTCTTATATAACATTTATAGGCAGAAGTGGAATGCAGGCATTATTCCATATAATTCTAAAAAGACCTCTTGAGGTAGTTATCGTACCCATTTTACAAGTGAGAAAACAAAGGCTTAGAGAAGTTGCCAAAGTACAACGCCCAGAGAATAGAAGGACCTGTGCTTGAATCTGTTATCTAATGGTAAACCCCATGGTCAACCCCAGGAGGATTCTGTCTGGCTAAAGCAACAGACACAGAGTGGATGGAGAAGAGGGCACGGAGTCTGGATTTGCTCAGGAGGATGATTCTAAATTCTGGATATTGAGGTGTTACGGCTCCTGAAAAGAGTGTCTGTCTTCCGAGTATTTTCTGAGAGAGTGGTATCAGCTTCCTGGGGGAAGCCAGTGGTTACAGGGCCAAGCCCAGGGGACCTCCCTGACTAGGGGAACATGGCTGATGAGTACCCCCAGCCTGCAGAGATGTGTCACCTTAAAATGCCTGAAGCCATGGAGGGCAGGGGCTGTGGGGTCTGCTGACTCAGGTTCTTAACCCAAGCCTGTAAACTATGTGAACTTTGACAGGATACTCAACCTCGTGGGACTCAGTTTTCTGGGCCATTAACACTGGGCCGTTCCCATCCGTGGGCAGCGGACAGAACTCAATGTGATGCGTTGACACTAATTAGCCTGGTGCTAAGCACACAGCAGACACTTCACTGACCGCTCATCCCCATTAAGTTAGACTCGTATTCAGGAAGTCAGGGACCCATTTCCTCTCAGGCCTTGACCCCATGGCTCACGTCCTTGTGGGCTGTGGCTGGGGGAGACAGAAGATGAAGCTTCACCTTATCTTGAATTGTTTCATCTCTTTCCTGGATCTCTCGCTTGAGGCCTTGTATGTCCTTTTCCAGGGACTTAATGACTCCCTGTAGTTTTACTTGCTCTCCTTTCAGAGTCTCAATGTCATTGGTTCGCTCTTCAATCTCCTTCTGCAGGCTGCTGAACTGAAGACACAAACAGCAACAACAAGACTACTGTAGGCTTTGAGCTCATCTCTGTTCCTCCTGACTGTCTGAATGCAAAGAGCTCCCATCACTGACCAACTGAACCGAACCACCTCTCCTATCAACTGAAAACACCAAACACTCAACATTTCTGGACCTTTGGGAATGGATTTTTGGAGCATTTGACACAGTTTGCCAGTTTCTCAGGTCAAAAGGATGGTGGAGAATCCTGTCTGGTAAGGGTGGAGAATCCTGTCTGGTAATAACCAGGCCCATATGCTGCCTCTGCACCAGAGGCTCCTGAGACCACTTTCCTGAATGGACTCAGGGTCTTCCGTGACCACAGTGACCTTGAAAGGTTGTAAGCAATGGCCTACCAAGGTCAAAGAGGTTGACTCTACCTGATGAGTGGTCTTTGCCATGTCCAAGAAGGGAAGGCATGATTCACCAGTAGTATGATCTCTAATAGGAAGGAGCATGAGCTTGCTTTGAACTTGGCTTCTCTAAGACTAAAACATTTAGGGAAACTGGCAATTTTACAAGGATCTGTGAATTAGATCCTCCCTCACTGAACTGCCAGTGGACTAAAAATACCTGCACCATCTGTATATAAAGCATTTTATATATCCACTCATATTCCCACCTACATAGTCAGAACAGGAGCCACCCAAGCCTGAGGTCACCTCCAGGCTAAGATGTCATCTGTCTCATCATCAGACTTTATTTCCATTTTTGTCAGACCCTGCTTGCCCAGAAGTGAGAGGCTACAGAGCCTCTCAGTGTGCAGGGAGGCTCAGCATCCCGGTGAGAAGGAAAGATCAAGGTAAGCCAGGCAGTGGTTTTTTGGGAGGATATGGTGGGATCAGTCTGCTGAAAGACACATCCGCCAGCCCTCTTCTCCTAACTGGCACACTGGAGGTGGGACATTTGGTGGGACCTCTGCTTGGCCACCTGTCATAGTGTGTGACCTTGGCTGCACAGAGGATGAGAAAGATTACTTGGAGACAAGATTTAATTCAATCATGGAGAACTCAAAGGGGCTGTTTCTTGGGCATAACAGAGCCTCAGGGAAACAATAACCAGCTGAGACCTTTGTGGTTGTTTATTTGTAACTCAAGGACATAAGAACAAAGATGTAGAAGAAAAGCCTTTGGCAATATGTTGTATAGGAGTTTTTGTCAGTGGCCAGAGCCAGAATGGGATGGTTTGTTACATGACACATGTTGACCGAGTTTAGGCAATCTTATTTTGATAGGGAAAATTTTAATAGCAAAAACCTAGGAAATGTCACAATGTAAGATAACTTCTGCCCTTCTCTCCTTATGGGCACCGGAGGCATCTAGTCTCCCTCAAAAGTTTTCTTTTCTTTTTTTTTGGTACCGGGGATTGAACTTGAGTCCTTGCGCTTACAAGGAAGGCCACCAAACTGCTGAGCTAAATCCCTGGCCCTCCTCAAAAGTTTTGTAAATGAAGAGAACCATTGTTAGCTTTGCTGACTAGACATGCTCCCTTCCCCTTGGCTAGAACAGATAACTAAATAAATCTTAGAGGTAACTTCCCCTAACAAAGAAGTGCTACATCTGGGTTGAAATTCAACTGCCTTGCCACCATGTTTTGAATATCAGCAATGTAAATGGTGGAACTGCAATGTAACCACCTGAATGAGATCAAGGCTGTAAAACCCTATAAAAGGGGGAGTCGTAGCCAAGTACTGGATCATTCAGGGCACTGCCATTAGGTGTCATTGATCTCCACTGATGGAGTAAACTTTTGTCATCTTACTTCCATTCTGCTGCCTCTCTGTGTGTTACTCCCAATTCCTTCTGTAATGTTATCAGGGCAGAGGCGACACAATGGCCAAAGCAATCATCTCTGACAATAACTTATGCTCTTAATTCTGCTGACTGTTGTCCTACAGATTCTGCTCTAAACTCTAACCATGTATTCCAGGAGCATGGAAACTGTTCCCCAAGGTACTTTCTTATCACACTCAGGTTCCATCACTCCTTTGGCCAGTATTTTCCCACAGCCACCCAGGGCTTTATGCCCATGTGTTTGTTCCCAGCTTTCTCTGCAATACTGCCCTTCCCCATTCCTGGGTCTCTCAGGGAACAGCCCAATACCTTCTTCCTCATAATGCCGGTCTCTCCCTTGAGCCGTAGGTTGGATTCCTTTTCATCCCGAAGCTTCTTCTCATACTTGGTTTTCATGTCTTGGATTTCTCGGTCTTCATCTTCTTCAATCTGTTTCTTGGTCTCTTCAAACTCTCGTAACTGCTGCCTGACATCTTCCTGTGCCTGGCTCACAGGGAGGGAGAGAGTGTGGTCATGGGAGAGGGGATGCATGATGCCCCTCTACACAGAGGGCTTCGATGAGACCAACAGAACAGCCCTCATGGGGCATGGGAAATGAATGCTATTATAGAAATGGAAAAGAAAGCCAGAGGTCCTCTGATCTGTCCGTTTTCTTCCTATCTCCCTTCTTTCCTAACCAGATGAGTCTTCAAGCTCCATCACTTCAAGCACCCTCTTAACAACATCTCTACAGCCTCTTTTGTTTCTGTTCTTGACACTGACATCCAGGCTTCATACATTTTTCCTTCATGGAACTTGTGATGGCTGTAATTTCACATTTATTTGTGAAATTATTTTGTTATCTCTCCCACTAGATGAAAGTTCCTTGAGGACTTACCTCATCTCTAAGGCCCACTGTTGAATAGCGCACGCTGGTACACAGTAGCTACTCAGTGAATCATGGAATAAATGAGAGAGTCTCTAACCCTGCCCTCCAATCCCTCAGGCTAATCCTTCTGCCCTTTCTCCATGAATGGTAGGCACAGCTTGGGTTCCCCAGAATACCTCTTCCAGAAGGCTAGTTTTCTCCTGTAGCTTGGCTTCATAAAACTCAGTCAGTTCTTCCAGGGCTTGGCTCTTGGTCTCATCATTGTCCCGAAGCTGTTTTTCATACTCCTCTTGCATCCTCTGGGACTTGAGCTGCAGCTCCTGGTACTTCTCATATTCTAGCAGCAACTTTTGGTTATTACAGCATTCTAGAGAGAAGCAAGGGGGTGGGCGTTCGAAGTGGGTGAGTTAGCACCAGCCTCAGGACCATCCAGGCTCCCTGGGTGCTTTCTCAACCCTTCCATCTTAGCCAGAGCAGATGCTTCCAGAGCCCAGGGCTTGAGGACCTGCTCAACTTCCCTGCCTGACCCTACTCCATATCTTGTCAGGCAGCCAAACTCCCTCTCTTCCCCTCTGGGCAGGTACAGAGGGGCATTTGAAGGTTCAGGGCCAAGAGGAAATGTCCCAAATATGTAAAACAGGTATTAGTTTTAGCCTGAGTAAACTGAGGCTTGGTAAGGTGACCCCATCCACCTAGCAAATGAGTGGTAAGTTGGGACCCAAGGCAGTTTTTATCTCTTATTGGCATGCAGCAAGCATTTAATGAATGAGCAAACACACAGGAGTAAAACCCATAGTGAATTCTGGAGGATACATACTATCGGTTCTTAGTCATATTGCCCGGGACTCCTGCTATGTCTGGGGGCCTCGCAGATGTTCACCCCGACCTGTCTCTTTCTAACCCTCACCAGCTACCCTCACCCCTTGTAACTTCGATTTGTGGGCTTACCCAGGTCTTGAAGTTCCTGGCTTTGTTTATTTATAAGTTCTTCTATGTGTTCACGGTGGTATATATCCTGTTTCTCTTTATCTGTTTTTAAAACCTACAACACAGTCACATTTCCTCATTTCTACACATCTGCTGAAGGCACCACCAGGATAAGAACTAATTTTACAAGTAACACTTTCCAAACATTGTTCTATGGAGCAACACTCTATTACTTTTCATTTGCATTATATTTTACTCTGAAAGTTTTATGCTATCCCTATTTATTCCCTAGCAACATGATAAAAACCCAAACTGAATGGGTTTGTCAGTGATGAGTGTAGATTTAGATGTGTATTGAGTGGATTTGGGGATGAACAGTAGAAATTCACTAGAATCCTTTGTTGCCTGCATAATGGTGTCAATTAACCTCTTAGATGTGTCAACAAGTATGCTTCTAAGTGTCTTCTCTAATTGGCAGGACAGCTCCTTGCAGGCTGAGGAGGTGGCATTGCAGATCTAACTTTGTGCTTGGCTTAGTCAGGGAACCAAATAAATGTTCATTGACTAAATTAATGAAATTATAAATGTGTGGAATAAAACTAATAGCCAGCCCCCCCAAACACTCTAATCTATGGAGATACCATAAAAAACAAATAACTAGAACAAAAAATTGGGGTTTTGGTTGGGGGGCCAGATAGATTTGTGTAGACAAGCCTCTGGAGTTAGACCAAATCTAACTATCTACAGAGACCATTGAGAATAATTTTATTTAACTGTCTGACAATCTAGAAATCAGTATTTTGCTAGTTCTTCCCTTTCTTTATTTTTGTGCTTTTTTTTTTTCTTGTACCAGGGATTGAACTTGGGTGTTTGTGCTTGTGAGTCACGTGGTGGAAACCCTGAGCTAAATCCCCAGCTCCTTGTGCTATCTCTTCATTTTGTTTTTTCAAAAAGTCTTTCCACATGACAAAAGTAATAAATTCTCATTGTAGGAAACTTGGGAAATTATAGAAAATTATAAAAAATAAAATTTAAATTATTCATAATTCCAACTTCCAGAGAAAGTTACACTGTCACCAGATTTCTGTATTTATTTTACTAAACTAAAATCTTCACTGTAGAGAATTTTATATTGTGCCTTTTTCTACTTAGCACTCTGTTAAAGCATTTCTGACATGATCACCTGTGCTTTACAATTGAACATTACCCTCTATCTTTTTGTTTGAACCTAGCTTGGGCAATATTGCTGGCCTTGTGTTGAGCAGAGTGAAAACTTCTTATTACTTGTGGCAATTGGTTCAGCCTCTCAAACAGACCTGGTTTTTTGTTCTCAAGGACTCCATTTCCTGGATGAACTTGTCTGTTAGCTCCTTAATTTTCTCAGAATAGTTCATATCTTTGAGTCGAAGTTGATATTCATTCTCCATTTTTAATTCTTCTACACGAGTCTTTAGCTCCAACATAATCTGAGCCTTTGGGAGAAGGACACAGAATTGAGAGGATTCTCTCTCACTGGGATGAATTGGAATTTTGAAACCTGTATCTTTGACCTGAGACCTTCAGCTCTTCCTGCCTTCAAACTCATCTTGACTAGAACTTGTCATTTCCTTCTCCCTCAAAAGGCACACAGGCTAAAAAGGAGTTGTGGGAGCTTCTTCCTCTGTCCTTACAATACACACTCAGTGAGTGCTGCTGTGTTCTGATAACTCTCACATCTTCATACTGGCTTAACCGTCATCTGCTCAATGAGGCTCCCTCGGACCCCACCATTTAATCCTGCTACCCCTTTCCCATTCCCAGAACTGCCCCTCCTGCCCCTTTCCACTACTTTTCATCACTTCCTTAGATTTTGGCACTTCTGAATGTATAACTTACAGGGGATTTCGCTCAGTGGTGCCACTGCCTGCCTTGACTATATAACTTATTTATCATTTTGTTTATTCTTTTGTCTTTCTTCTCCTAGTTCTGCTAGAATTTAAGCTCCAGGAGTCCTGAGATCCTTTACTTATTTATCCCAGGTACCCAGAATAATGTCTAACTTATAATGGGCACTCACAGGGTATTACTGCATCATGATTGCTGCCCCCATAGAATTTATAGTTCACTGAAGAGCCAAATAAGCATAGAATCACAAACTGTGATAAGTCCCCAAACCGGATGGTCAATTGCCCCTCCCCATGTGTTTTATGCCTGTGCCATGCTCATCGCTATTACTTTAATGTAGTTCCTAACTCTCTCTCTCTCTCTCTCTTTGGTCCTTGTGTCCTGTATCTTCTTCCTCCACTGTATTACTGCTGCTAGTTTAAAAAATACTACAATACATACTCCTCATTTCCTACGAGTTAAAGTTGGTGATAGAGTGGGTGAGGACACTGGTGTTTCCTTCTTGCTCACCCTGATTTACCCTATGCTTCCTCTCTCATCTTTGCTGGTCTGTCTCCCCTACTGCTAGCGAGTGCCTTGATGACAAGGAGCACATTCTATGTGTCGCTGTGCTCCTGTCCAGCACAGTGGTTTGGATCTGGCATAAGGAAAGTACTGAGATGAGGACTGAATATGAATTGAATGTGCAAAGTAGTGGAGTGTATGGCTTGTGTTTAGATGTCCCCCCAAAGCCTCATATAGTCGTAGGTGGGGCTTTTTCAGAGGTGGCTGTATCTAGAGTGTGTGACACTGAGATTGATTCATGGTGCAACCTAGGATCAAGGGCACTAGGATTGAGGGTGTGAGTGCTACTCGCCCTGAGTAGCCTGGATACGATATAAGGGGTAGAAAGAGCTGTAGCCATTCTTTGTTGCTTTGCTACCTCTGCCACCATAAATGTTTCTCCTCTGTGATCCCTGTCTGCCATGTGCCATCCCTGCCTTGGAGCCAGCCAACTATGGAATGAAACCTCTATAAACTGTGAGCAAATAAAACTTCCCCTATTTAACTTTGGGTGTCAGGCATTTTGTCTCAGGAACAAGATAGAAAAGTAAATAACACAGGGAGCTAAGAGTGCCTGGTCAAGGTAGTCATGGATCTGGTGCTGGTAGGAGTCAGAGGGAGAGGGGGCTGAGACTTGGGCCAGCTCATCGAGGTCCCTGCAGGCCATGTAGGAAATTTGGATTTTATACCAGAGGGCTTCCAAAGGCCCTCATCTAACCCGATTATGGTGACTTAGGTGTTTAAAAGCCTCTTTGATGGCAGTGCACAGCAGGGACTGTGTTAGAGATGGCCTGAAGGCAAGGTGATGAATTGGGGGACAACCATATAGTTCAAGGAAGAGAATAAGGGCTTGAGCTATTGTGCAGAAGCAGGGAAGAAAGGAAATACTAGCGATAGAGGCTGGCTGTAGGGTGGAGGTGAGAGGACTGTGGTTGAAGATTTTTCTTCAGATAGATTAGGCGGTACCAGCGGGTTGGTCTTAGCCTATCTCATTTCACTGCTTTATCCCCGGAGTGTAGCACAAGACTGGTGACATCATCTGCACTGATAGATGTTCATCAGGAGAGTAACCCCCGAGTCTGCCTTGGACAGTAGAACTTTTATTGGTGGGAATGATCTAGCTTTTGACATGTGATGACTGTAGTATTTGCTCATTGATCATTCTCATTCCATCTCCATATTGTTGCAGAATGATCTCTCTGAGAGGCAAATCTTGTTAAGATACTCCCTAATTTAAGCCTATTAGTGGATGCTTATGAATAATTTCTGAAGTCCAAAACATGGCATAAAAATCCCCTCACAATCCCTCTCTGATTCTTTCTCCAATCTTTCTCTCTGGCACACTTGTTATTCTCCAGCCACACCTACTTGGAAACACCTTCTCCAGAGCACTCCTCTATCACCCCTCAGCAAACACTCATTCCCCAGGGTGGAAGGCCCTTTCCCATCTACTCTGGAAGACTCAATTCTGGCATCACCTGGCCTACATCAGGGTCTTTCCACAGCATTGTTCTCTTCTAACATTGACTGTACTTCTCCATTACAGTTTGTCAGGCCCTTCTCCGAGGACCTCTGTGTCCCTTACCTCAGTAATCCCAGACCTCAGTATAGTGTCAGGCACATAGCAGACCCTCTGTCAATACTAGATGGGAAATGAAAACATGAATGATGGATGAATGGGTAAATCCTCAGCCGAGAGGTAGTTACACAGAAGGTTACAGAGTATGAATAAAAAAAGACAGCTGAGAACTCTAGGGAACAGGTGGATGAGGAGCCAGGGAAGGAGCTGCAAGGAGAAGTTAGAGAAATTTACAGAAATAACCAGAATGTGGGCACTTGGGTGCTGAGAAAGGAGGCGTCAGGAAGTGAGCAGTATAGGCACTCAGAATTTCCTGCTTGCTAGCAGTACTGTCAGGTGGGCAGACCTCAGCTCAGACTCCTTCAGGCCTTGGGTTCAGCCTGGTGTCTCCTATTTGGCCTCTTCTACCCTCTGTGAAGAAGAATGGAGAAGGAAACAGAGGAAGGACATAGTATTTGTCTGCTACAGGGAGGTCAGGCTCTCCCTTCTGGTTCCTTCATTTCTTCCCTTTCCTGCAGAAAATTCCAGGGGGACTCCAGAAAGGATGTCCAGAAAAAACTAGAGGCCTTGTGGCTGCTTTTGCATTACTGCTCTGAGTTTTATTTGTCTTTATCTTCCACTTGACTGTGAGCTTCCTGATCACAAAGCCTATGCCTGTCCTTTCACACCTGCATCACCACTGGCTAGCTAAAGAATAGATGCCAATACATTGAATTAGATTCTTTTAAAAAAAATTAGATTCTTGATGAACAGCAGCATGAGTAGCTTTGGGATTTTCTGGAAGCTATCCATTCAGCTTCTCCTATAGGGAGCATAGCCCAGAACTATGCACTCAAAATATCTGCAAAAACACTTTTATATTTATATATATTTTATATATATATTTGTGTTACTGAGGATTGAACCCAGGGCCTTGCATACATTAGGCAAGCACTCTATCAAAGAGGTAAATCCCCAACTTTTTAAAAATTTTGAGTCAAGGTCTTGCTAAACTGCCCGGACTGGCCTTGAATTTGCAAACATCCTGCCCCAGACTCCCGAGTAGCTGGGAGAATAGGCATGTGCTACTACACCTGGCTACAAAACATATCTCTGTGGAATATTTACTGTATTAACAGGAAGGGATTCCCTTTGGTATAATAAAGAAGAGAGGGGCTCTGGAATAAATCTGGATTATAGTACTGGTCCTACTACTTACCAGCAGTGACTTTGGACACAGTGCTGCACCTCTTCAAATCTGCTTTTTGAAACACGAGGGAAATAGCAATATCTTCTTCATATAGGTGTTAGGAGATTTCAGTGAGAAATAATTATGAAGCAGTCAGCATGATGCCTGCTTCACAGCAAATGATGGTTATGATTACTCTTGTAGTTTTATTACTCAGAGGCATGGGTAAGGGCTTCTAGAAATGTTTTCTAACTATATTATTATTACTTTTTTTTTTTT